GGTCATTTAAAGGCTGTGCAGGAGATCCAGCTTGTGTGGTTGAGAGACCCTGAAGGACTCTCCTGCCGGCTGTCTGTACTGACTTTACCTGAATGTCCAGTTAACCTCTTAGGCAGGGATGCTCTAGCCATGCTTTGCTTAGATAGAGGCTGGGCATCCCACATTACCATTACACTCTGGACTTTCCCAACAAACCTCCTTTAAACATCGGAGAAGCGCTGCTTCAGGAGGGAAGACAGTCTGTTCGAATTGTACAGCAGTCCATGGACCCGAATGACCTACATATTACCATGTGGTACAAAGACTCTCCAGGTCCTGATAAAGACTATAAAAAACTTAATTGGATAAATAATAAAAAAAAAAAAAACTTTTGTAAAGCATGTCTAATATGTGCTAAACATAATCTTCAAGGAAATTTAAGACCTAAAAAAGATGCTTTCCCTAAACCTATTTATCCTTTCAATTCTGTTTGGTTATAATAGATTTGTTTTCTAAATGGATTGCAAGAAAGTGATAGTTAGATCAGATGAGTAATAAGTAAAATCACCTTCTTAATTATTCTCTGGAACCTTACCATACTGCTTAGCACTCTAGTAATTCTACTGTGGTACCTGTTATAGAATACACATTTGGTCTCCTTCACCGACCTTCAGAGGAAGTCCATCGTACAAAGGGGGTTGTATTTTTTAGCATACAACCATCTCAAACTGGTGAAGATTCAAAAACTCTGCCGAGAGGTCATAGGAAGTAGACCATTGTGTAAAAAGATTATCCATAGAACACTTTTTGAAGTTTGAACCTAGATGATGTTGCGATTATTCATATTAGTTTTGTCTTTAGCTCTAACTCAGGGCAAGGATTCTTGTTGCCCCCATGATCCAGTTATTTGTAAAAGGGACGTCTATCTCTGCTATAACTCTACTACAGTAATCAGTTTGGTGACTATTCCTTTTCAAACATTCTCGCAAAGATTTAAACATGACCCGGGAAATTGGCACGGTTATGATTTCTACCTATTTCCTCGCGTAGTTCAAAGAACTCATAACGGTTGGGGAGACGTATTTAGAACCACTGGACAGTGGAAAAAGGGATCGTATGGATGGACACCTTTAGCTAAGAAACTGATGAGTAGAATATCAGGGTTCACTGTTAACCATGCCTCCAAAGTTTTCACTATGACAATAAACTCCACAGCAGAACCCCTTGAGAAGGAAGGCTGTTCTTCCTCATTTCTATGTGCACGGTCTAGTGGAACCGATCCATGTTGGCCTTTGTATTTGTGCCCCGTAAATATTACACAAGAAGGAGATGAGATACAAGGGATTCTTACTTCTGCCCAAGGTGAACAGATAAAAATTCAAAATATTAATGGTCCGCTTAAAACAGATGAATTGTTTCAAGTCATCACTGGAATCTCTGGGCAAACAAACAACTGGCTTTTAATGGCAGAACAAGCAGCTAAAACAGTGTCTAATGATTGTCTTGTGTGTATGGGAGCTAGACCGCTGTTACGTGTGGTTCCTGCCACCATAACTCCTCAATGTCTTCTAAATATAATGAATTATACAGTCCCATCTGATAAATTGCACCTATTGGGATAACATCTATCCCCTGACCACAACTGGGAAAAAGAAACCAATCTTTTTGAAAAAAGTAGCTGTGGCAAATTTCACCTGTGTAAACAGGACCGGAGCGGGCCCGAAACTAGGCACACTAAATGAAACACAATGTGCAAGCATTTTACTGGTATCCACCTTTTTAACCTCAATCCCGCAGCGACATCTGGTGGTGGTGTGGAGATGACAAATTGTTTGACAGACTTCCATGTAACACCACTGGATTATGTGCTGCTGTCACCTTGATTTTACCTGTTTCTGTTACATCACTCACAACGGATGAATTGTTGACGACTGCAAACAGCATTTTACCTCACACAGAGCATACTAGAAGGAGGAGGGCATCTGAAAATGCATGGAGTGGAGATGACCCTACTTATATTGATAGCATTGGTGTACCCAGAGGTGTTCCTGATGAGTATAAACTAGCCAATCAAGTTTCTGCAGGATTTGAATCTTTCTTATGCTGGTGGTGTACTCTAAATAAAAATGTAGACAGAATCAACTACATCCATTATAACGTCCAGAGGCTGGGAAATAAAACAGAACAAGGCTTCTCCGCTGTCCATGAACAATTGTCAGCTACCTCTCTGATAGCTTTCCAGAACCGTATTGCTGTTGACATGTTGTTAGCTGAAAAAGGTGGTGTGTGCTCCATTTTTGGAGATCAGTGTTGCACCTTTATTCCCAACAACACCGCTGCTGATGGCAGCCTCACAAAAGCCCTTGAAGGCCTTCGCTCTCTTAACAGCAAAATGAAAGACCATTCTGGAGTTGACACAAAAATGTGGGATGGATTTGGAGACATTTTTGTTAAATACAAACAATTGGTGCTTTCTATTTTAATGTCTATAGCTGTATTTGCCGCCATCTTGACCTTATGTGGATGTTGTTGTATTCCATGTATTAGAGCGCTGCTAAATAGACTAATTACCACAGCAATACAACCCATGAAAGCAGAAATGTATGCCCTCATGCCCACTGAAAAATACCCATCTGATGATGAAGACAGCGAAGAGGATGAAATCTCTTTGCATTTTCCTGACTTTTATCCTAATTCCAATGACATTAACAGTAACCCACCAGTTTAAAGTACCTCTGAGTGTACCCTTTACAGCTAAAACATGATTTCATAGTTGAAAATCTGAAAAGAAGTAACTACTGAATGATAAAATAAATAGCTTAAAGTGAATAAACAGGGGGGAAATGTTGGATTAATCACACATGAGTTATTCTACTTTAATCATATTATTATGCTTACACACTGTGATCATATTATTATACTCACACATTTTGTTATCCTTATTTTACTTATATCATAAAGAGTGTTGAAATATTTTACTTGCTTGTTCTGTACTAATGTTTTAAGTCTGTGCAGACGGAGTGCAGATTGTGAGAGCTGGCTGCTGAAGGTCAGCCGGTTCAAGGAAAAGAACACGGGGAACTGCACGCACTAACACCGGAGAAAGGAGTGAAAGCTCTCCTTATCTTATGATACTGTATGATGTTATGCAGACTTCTGGTTCCGACTGGGTTTCACCCCCTCCTCCCTTTTAGCAGTCGGAACCACATTGTAGCCAGGGCGTTCCTTAATAAAGGCTTGGTAGAAGCGGAGACTGTTTCAGAGTGGTTTGGAGAATTGTAACTGAACAGTCTCTGATCACTCTCCTTGCAAGTAAATCATACTAAATTCTCTGTGTCTTTCTTTGTACAGGTTACTGAATAAAATGTTTGGTGTTTAAACCTAACAAGAATATACCAGGTATCACTTTGCAGTCAGGTAATATTAGATAGGGCATACACATTTCCTCTAGGCTCTCAGAGCTAACAGCACTAAATTATACACCTCTCAAAATGAGAGGATGACCTCATACGTTGGAAATCATCACCCATCTCACTCATGGGTAGAGTTGCTACCATAAGAATGATGCTACCTTACCAAAATCAATTACTTCTTGTCAATGCTCCCCATAAAACCACCTGCTACTTGGTTTTAAGTCACTAGATTCATGCATGCTTCTTGTGGAAAGACAAACCTCCATGTATCAGTTTAAAAACTCTTCAAAAGACCAAATACAGGGTTGGGTTAGCTATGCCAAATTCTTCTATGCAGCTACCGGGTGGACCTATGCAGCTATGCAGCTCGGGCTTCGGTCCTTGTCCCATGTCTGAGGGACTGGGGGGACGGAGTGCTGTTGCTCATAGCTCTTGAGGGGGCCACAGCCCTATGATCTTGGGTGGCTCTGTTGGGGGGCTTCCTTTGTCACTGTCTGGGTGGGGGCCCAGTTGTCTCCGTGGTCTTCCTGGTCTCTGTGGCAGCTGGTGGACTGGGTCTGAGGTCCTCTCTGCCCCCTCCAGATTGCTGGAGCAGGGCCGGTGGCGGCGTCCCCTATGCATGTCTGTTTGCAGGAGCTTCTACAGATTCTCTCTTAGGTTTGTCCAAATATGTTTTTGCTGCTTGTTTTTGTTTGGTTGCTTGTGACTCTTCTTAGTGTCTGTTTGCAGGAGCTTCTACAGGTTCTCTCTCGGGTTTGCCCACAGTGACCAGAGGAAATTTTTTGTCTTCTCTTTCTTTTTTCTGTCTCTTCCCCTGTCAGCTTTGGCCTTACTAATCTTACTTCTAAAATAAAAATAAATCTTAAATAAAGAAAGAAAAGGGTAAATAAACTTGTTGTAAGATGTTTTGACTTATCTTTACATCAGTTTTTGCAGTGTGAAAATGGGACTTTGGTCAGATAAAAGCAAAATGTTAGCAAAGAAACTGTTTTTCGCTAGAAAAAATAAATAAATAAAATGAAAACTAACTACACCCGCTGTGTAATTTCATTTATCCTATAAAGTGTTTCTGTTCTAACAAGGAGATTGATAACATTCCATGTAAAAGACACCACATTTTCTCCTTTAACTAATAGAGTCAAAGTAATTCATCAGTTTTACATTTCACTTTGATGTTGTAATGTGATGGAATTATTTATTTCCTCATATTTTGCTTTTCTACACACCTTGATGAGCTGTCCGTCTGTCGTTCCAATGAAGAAAACCATCCAGCCGTTCAGACTGAGCTCATGTGGTTCTTCCTAAAAAGCTTTGCCTTTGGTTTCAGGGCCACAGGTTCTGACTGAGAAACAGAGAAGATTGTTTTAACGTTGTAGAATGCTGGGTTTGAAAACTGTTGCAGCGATGGTGAAAACTGAACACAATAAAGTTTAGATACAATTAAAAAGGGTGATCCAAGAAGTCATGCGAGACTTTTATAGGCATAAAGCATCAAAACTGCCTCTTAAATATGATTTCAAATGATCTATTTGCAGAAACTATAAATGACTGCTGTATTTTCAGTCATTGAGGACTGAATACAAACATTAGTTAAATCCAGCAACCTACCGGCTTGTTTGATGAGTAATAGAAGTCTGGATCGGTGTCTGTTGTCCTGCTCTGATCAGGACTGATGTCAAACAGCAGCAGCTCAGTGTTGGTCTCTCCTTCATCCAAACTGAACACTCCGCTCCAAAGGACCTGCTGTCCTCCTGGGATGAGCGAGGAGGCCAGCAGTCTGCTGCCTTCACCTCCATCAGAGCTACTGAGAGTCGCTCCACCAAGAGACTTTAGAGTCTGAGCTTTACTGGTTTCAGCCTGAAGCCAAATCAGACGGACTGTTTCTGGATGGCGGTCAGGATGTATGTCTCAGTCTGAACTGAATCCTTCTTCACGTCCACCAGAAAGCTGACAGAACCTCTGCTTTTCCTCCAAGGTCCCACCAGGATGTGCTCTCTGTACACCAGCTTAGAGATGTCCCTCAGGTCCAGAACCTCACAGTAACCACAGCCTTTGTCTGTCGCACCGCAGACGATCAATGTCCCATTGTTCACAAAAGGTAATAAAATGTTTATGTTGAAAGTTGCATTCCAGGCATCATTTATTGAGACCCGATGAAACTCCTCTCTGTTCCGTTGACGCGGGTTCTTTAGGATCCCTCTTAGGCTCAGGCTGTGGATCAGAATCAGGTCGTGGCTCAGCTGGTAAAGCTTCTCCTCTGTAGAGATGTAAACAGAGTCATGGCTCACTGAGAGCTGCTGGAGGTCCCCTTCAAAACTGAAAGCTCTGTCCTCCTCCAGAGCCAGAGAAGGTTCTCCCCAGATGGAGCAAAGCAGAGCGAGCAGCAGGATCATCTTGCTTTGACTTCGGTCTCTGATTCTCTGCAGAGATGCAGAGAAAACCGCTGCAGCTCTGCTGAAAGGAGAAGTTCTGAAAGTGAAAGGAAATGAAACCGGAAATAAAAACACATCAAATGATCTATGAAGATTTTAATAACCATGTTTTACACAATTGAATTTATCTGATCAATTTTCTTCTTTATATGTAAGAAGCTCCTCTATAAAATGTCACTTGTTGACTGTTTGGACTTGGTATATTTACCCGTTTTAAATCAGCATTTTCAATTTTTATTCTCATCAATCTTTTGTTCCAGAATTAGAAAACACAATCCAGGCATTAAAGGCTGCCACGGCTCCAACTACTGTGACTTTATTATTTAATAATAAGTTACGGCCTAAACCATCTGAGCCCAAAGGTCTAACTAAGCAGCAGAGTCTGTTATCCCTGAAATAACAAATCAAAAACAACAAAATACAAACAAAAAAAAGGGAAAGAACTGTACATTTTTCAGGAGTTTTAATATAGTTTTTTGAGTTATAGTGCCTTCTAGAGTCCTGATGTTCTCAATATTGCCAAGCTTTTCATTTTCCTTTAGTCTCCATATTCTGTATTTATCCTACTGTTAGTGGTGTACGTAAACAGGATCTTCAAGGTGTAGTCAGTGGATGGAAAGGTGTTTATCCCTCCACCCTGAAAGCATAATGGCTGACTCATACCTAAACACTTAAACATCTGACCTCTGCAATGCCAAAGAAACCATAAGTTGGAAACTTACCACAGTGACCTTTGCAGCATCAGGTCATATGCTGCAACTCAGGCTTATATTATAGCCTACTGAGTTTTTCGGGTTCATTTTTTTAAGAAGAACTGAAATACAGACTTATCGATACAATTTCCGCAGGAAGGGGAGACAGTTGAACCCCAGACTCAAACATACTGTCTCCCACTGGACCTCCTCTGCAGAGCGTTTATTAACAGAACATGACGCATGGTTACAAACAGAGTATTGTTCTGACAGAACAATTGATCAGTTCATGAAGACAGAATGCTCCATCAGAATGACAAGGCAGGATGGTCTCCTGACTGGATCATGAGACAGGAGTGGAGAATCGCCTTGTACAAATGTTTCATAAGCACGCATTCATTTTATAATCATCATCATTTCCCTCCTCTTCTACTACTTCTAAAAAGATTTTTACTACACACATCATAGATGCATTGCAGATAGGGAATTCAGTAATCAAAGATCAATATGCAAAAAACAAAAATATGAAAAGGATTAAAATGTGAAACTTAAGCAAAAATGTAAGATTTATCAAGAATGTAAAAAGCTTAAAAATCTGTCCCTTGAGTAGGCAAAACCTCTCCAATAGAGGAAAATTCCTACCCGTTCCTTCCCGAGGAAGTGATCATTGTCCCTGTAACATATTACACAGTTGTCACACCATCAGTATCTTAATCAGCATCTTGGCGGAGTTGAATATAAGTTACAGCTGAATACTGGATTAGAGTGGATCCTATCATTCTCTGAATCATTGACTGGAGACATGGTATTAAGCAACAAATAAAAAGGAAAATATGAAAAATAATCCTACAAATGGTAAAGCTATCTTCATCAGCACCTGCCACCATGATCCCATGGTGAACCAAATTGTCAACAGTGCTGGACTTGCACTGAAAGTGTGATGGTCAACATAACAGTCTGCTTTATTCAAACCTTCAGCAACGCGCTTGGAATGTTTACCACCTCATATTGGCACCAAAGGGATGAATTGCTGTGGATCCATCAAAAACCATTCTGGTTTTTCATTTGTCTCTGGTGGTCAGTTTGAGTCCATAAGAGCACCAGTCCAATGGTCACCATCAAACAGCAGAGCCACTTTAGTTTTCCCATCTTCACCAGTTCCTCCAAGGGAGCACCCACTAACCAGGACGCTAAGGGACTGGGTTAGGTTGGTTTCTTCACCAGTGTTGAGACGAAAAGCTCTAAATTGCTTAACCCCTGTGTAGCTGGGCTTCACCACATATCCCTACCTTAGTGGGGTCCCTGTGAAGGTAACTGGGCTTCTTGCTGAGGAAAATCTTTTATCAGCTTACATTGACTCTGGGGAATCCAAGTGTTTCTCTCTTGGATCTTCACAGCGGTTGGAGTTGCTAGCTGCACAATGTAGGGTCTTTCACACTTAGGAGCTGCCCAATATTCCCCTTGATTATTTTAATCAGCACTCGGTCTCCAGGCTTCAGGCCTTCCTGTAGGGAAAATAAAAGGAGCTCTGGGCAGATTACATGTTCTTCGCAACATGTGAGACATGCTCTCATAAAAATTTTTAAAGTAGTTATTTAATCCTGCAGTTGGATTAAAATACTTGTACTATAACCAATATCCCTCCTCAGGACACATGACAAACTCATGGCTCAAAATAGCTGCTGCTTTCAATCAGAAATACTTTAATAATTCCAGAGGGAAATTAATTTTGTTACACGCTTCAGTTACAGTTTTCTATTTATATAAACACATCCAACTACACAATATAATAAAGAATAAGATATGGGGGAACTGTTGTTTACATGGGTCCCTTTAACCCTTAAAGTAGAACACAACAGGTATGAGCCCATCACCATGAGACTGTAACAACACAGAGGTCATATAACTTGCATAACCGCCAACTATTTTAATGCACGGTTTTTGATAAGTTTACAAAGCTAAAACAGTTGCTGAGAAGTTCTACTTTTCAGCTTTGTGAATTGCTGTTCTGCTTCTCTGACTTAGCTCTAGTGTGTCATAAAAAAACTTAAGAAAAGCTACGTTTTTTTTCATAATGTGGAATCTAAAAAGACATTCTTGTAGCTTTTTACCTTCTTCTGAAATGGCCCAAACATCAAACTTATTTCTGCACCCGCTAAAATTTTATAACTAGTTTTATACTTTCCTTTGCTTCACATTTTAGCAGATATTGTTTTATCCTTGGCCTGTATTGCGATTTAGGAACTATTTTAACTGAATCTATAGTTGTCAACAGTCCTACATCAATTCTTCTTGTAGACCACAAAGCATTTGGAATATCTTTGAAATCATTTTCATCCGATTGTGATAGCAAAGAATGCTGAGTTATTTTAACACATGCTAAATCTTGAACCTGGGGTTTTACATTGAACAGAATTTTATAAGGCTGTTTCCATAGCTGGAAAAATAGACATGGAGCAGAAGTGCTAAGCATGTTGCATAAAACACAGAAGGATTTGGTTGCATCACTATTACATCTATTATTCATACAGCCTTCGTTCCCCCCCAGCGTGGGGAAAATTGCAATGCCTAATTTTCCATCAAGCCTCACTTTAACAGATTAATGGGGTGAATTGGTGATATTACTACAAAAACATGCAACTTTGCAACCTTTTTCCTGCTTGAAGGCTGACATACATTCCTAGGATGTTTGATTATTTGCTGATTTTACAAAAATTAGCCTTTTTAGACGGTTTTAGCATTTACATTATCTTTAACACAAGTATTACAGGCTCCTGATTCGCATATAAATCTAAACGCCTTTCCATTAACTGCTAAAACTATTCATGTTTTGGGGAATGAGCCTGAATGTATCACGTGTGTCAGCTGCATCTGAGCTCTGCTGTAACTTCCCCTTGCAGCATAAAATCTATACATCTTCTCACTGACATGCCTTTGTCTGTAGGCACCAACACTAATTGCAATTTCCTTAACAAATCTCTGCCTAATAGATTAACTGGACAGTCTGGGCTTAACACAAAATCAGCTTCCACCATGAATCCCTCTTCATCAGTGACCAATTGTTTTTCAGAAATGCGCTGAACTACCATTTTCCCATCAGCAGAGACTACAGTGATCCATTAGATTTATTGGCCCCGGTGTCACACAAGAATTTTACTTTTACTCCTTGAATGTTTAAATGCCAGTATGTTTTTTCTGATGTGTTTAAAAAAGAAAGGAAAATTTGCTGTAGGTCCAGGACCTCCACTGGGTTCACAACTAACTGCAATTTTTGCTGGTGCACATGACTCCTGGCGTAAGTGCTGGTCATAACATTGGTGACTGGGAGGGTCACTCTGCGGGGGTCTGGACATTCTCGAGCAAAGTAGCCCTCCTAATCACAATTGCATCACCTATTGTGCTTTGTACATGACCCCTTGCTTTTCCCCTGTGACCACCAGCCCCTCCCTTGAGCCCAATTATGGTCCAAACTACACTTCATAGCTGTTTCTATGTTTTAGCTTATTTTCTGGTGGGTTATTAATTTTTTTGGTTCCGAACTTATAGTTTTGGAGACCCTGCAGACGCATTAGGAAGGCTGTCAGCTGGATCAACGCTGCAGTCATTAACCCAGTAGACATACTCCCCTGCCACTGCAAATTCAAGCTGTCTCCCTCTAAACTGTGTTTCATTATTTTTTGGACACACAAACAGCTTAGAAGACCCACAAGCATAACTTTAAAGACAGAAACACATGACATTAAAACCGGACAAACACAACATTAGATCTATTTATTTAATTTTTAATAATAACATATCTACTTTGCGCATGTATTATATCAACAACTCGCCATTTGGAGCTCATTTATTTATTTATTCATTAATTTTTTTATTTATCTATTTTTGCACTAGTGCTTGTTTTAAGCCGGCACATAACATTTCTCCATTGATCTACTTCCACACACCATCTATTTCATACTTTTACTTCCACTTCTACAAGTATTTTAAATTACTTGGATCAATCTGACACAAACTTTTCATCCCCTTTATGATCTTCTCTATACTCTTCCCTGAACCCATCCTTTTTTATTCTTTTACCTGCCTGGCTCACTTTAGTTCTATTATGTTATCATTTAGTTATTATTTTATCTTGGAATAGAGGTGTCCCTCAAACCCATTTTTTTCAAACCATATATTCAAGTATTTTTTTTTGTTGGATCCTGCGCTTCTAATCGTAGATTTTAAATAACCCCTAAATTTATTTTGACCTTTTCCCATTTTAAAGAATGTAGTCCATTACAAACACCTAGGGTATTCAACGTACTGTATGTTTATTCAGCAGGACAGCACCCAAAAACTGTTGTGGTAATTTCTGCTTCTACCTTTTCAGGTGAGAGATTCTTGCCTCTGCATCCACAAGAGTTGTACTTTATTAACCCCTGCTGTTTTAGCATGAAACAACAGAACCTGAAAGGCTCGATTGTTTCCTGGCACCCTCTCACATAGTCACACCTATTCTAAGGCCTATTATATATTTTTTATTTTAACCAACATAGGCAAAAAACACCTATCGGGTACACTTTGGAGCCCTCGCACGCACTGGATACCCAGATGCCCTATCTGCTATCCCTGTTGCGGCAGCTGCAAACCTTACTATCTTAAGAACAACACAGTCTCACACTCTAACGCTCAGAATGCCCAGATGCCATATATGTCAACAAGACTTGGTCTCGTCAAATATTCTTGTGATTACAGCTGTAACTTAAATGGTCCTAGACCAACTTTTGATCAAAAGCTTCAGGCCTACCCTTTGTCGTGTAGAATCAGTTCCTCTGGAGCCGTCACCAAGATGTCCAGGGCAGGGTTGGACCAAACTGGCCCTGTCCGGCGAAGGAAGGACGGCTGTCGACAGATTCTTGGCCTTGGTTCCACACGGTCCTGGACAATTGGATCTTGACTCCCGGCTTTCGGCACCAAAAATGTTGGGTTCATTTTTTTTAAGAAGAACTGAAATACAGACTTATCGATACAATTCCTGCAGGAAGGAGACAGTTGAACCCCAGACTCAAACATACTGTCTCCCACTGGACCTCCTCTGCAGAGCGTTTATTAACAGAACATGACGCATGGTTACAAACAGAGTATTGTTCTGACAGAACAATTGATTAGTTCATAAAGACAGAATGCTCCATCAGAATGACAAGGCAGGATGGTCTCCTGACTGAATCATGAGACAGGAGTGGAGCTTCCCCTCGCACAAATGTTTCATAAGCACACATTAATTTTATAATCATCATTGAATAAACCTGACAGACTTACAAACCGCCCTCTATCTGGAATATTGTATGGAAAGCCAGGGAGGAAAAAACACTTAGTACAAAAACTCTCTGAAGATATTCCGAAAAAATTGAAGAAGAAAAAAATCCACTGAACTTTTTTTGTTTCGAAGTTTGAAGATGTTTTTCTTCCATCCAGGATGCTTTTTCAATTCAAAAAGTCAGAAATAGCATTGAGTTCCAGGCATTATACAGAAGTGGGTTTACTGGATAATTAAAGCTGGGTGTCATCCGCATAACAGTGAAAATGAAAGTTGAATTTCCAAAAAATACTGCCAAGGGGAAGGAAGTAGGTGATGAAGTGGAGGGGACCAATAACTGAGCCTTGAGGGACACCAGAAGTAACAGGGGAAGGGTGCTATGTGGAAGATTTGAGTAGAATAAACTGAGTGCAGTCGGAGAGATATGAGCGATACCAGTCAAGAGGGGTGTGAGAGATGCCAAAAGAGGATAATCTATTGAGTAAAATGGGGTGAGAAATGGTATCAAAGGCCGCACTGAGATCAAGAAGGATGAGAATGGAGAGGAGTCCAGAGTCAGCAGCTATGAGGAGATCATTTGTGATTTTTATTAGGGCGGCTTCAGTGCTATGAGAGGGGCGAAAACCAGACTGGAAAGGCTCATAAAGACTGTTGAGGGTAAAAAAGGTGTGGAGTTGAGCAGACACCATTTTTTCAAGTATTTTAGAGATAAAGGGAAGATTAGAAATGGGATGAAGATTTTTAAATTTAGTGGGATCATAACCAGGTTTTTTCAGAATCGGGGAGACAGATGCAGTTTTGAAAAATGAAGGAACAATACCAGAAGAGAGTGAGGAATGGATAATGGAAGTAATGAAGGGGAGGAGGGAGGTAAGACAGGTTTTGACCAGAGCTGTGGGGAGGGGGTCAAGAGAACAGGTAGAGGACTTGGATTTTTGAATGAGGTCAGAAATTTCAGAAGAAGTGGACAGTAGGACGGCGGGGGGGGGCCGAGGCAAGGCGGTCATATATTATTGCTGGTGAATGGAGCTGCAGGGTTTCTTTCCAACCAAGCAATACCACACCAGATTCCAGTCATCTCATCAAGTCATTATGTTCAGATTGGACTCACTTGATGAGATGACTGGAGTCTGGTGTGCGATTGCTTGGTTGGAAAGAAAACCTGCAGCCACGCGGCCCTTTCTGGAACCAGTTTGACACCCCTGATGTAAAGTCTCTGGTGAGTGAAAGATTTACATTGTCCATATGAATATTGAAATCACCAAGGAGAATGACGTTAGGAGAGAGAGAAACTGGCAACAATTTCCACTTCTCGTGACAAAGTAACGCAAGACCTCCCCCGCGGCCCGAAGAACAAGGAAGAGAGTGGTAAACAAGCCCAGGTGGAGTTGAGTGGGTTTTAAGGGGTTAAATTACAGTCAAACCCATTTATACAGTAACAGATAAAACCTTTACATAAATCAAACATTACTGCCACATACCTGACTCTATAACCATTAAAAAAACGATTTTTCTCATTTCAGATAGAACTATTCACAGACTTAGATTATATTAAACTGAACTTCCAATATTTACCACTGTTTGGCGCCAAGTACTAAGTTTCCTCGGAGCACGGAGTAGCCGGATTGCTTGGTCTCGCAATGAATCATGGGATACCCAAGGCTACGGAGGATACACCGGACCAGTCTTTCAAAATAGGCAAAAATAAGGCTGCATCTGTCGCCATGATGTAATCTATGGAAGTAAAACAGTCTCATTGAAATCTGCCTTTTTTTTGTACACCAAATTTTAAACACTGAATTTTTTTTACACATTGCTGCAAAGAAATTCAGCTGCAAAACAATTTGCCTGAAAAAAATTCAGCTGCAAAAAAAAAAAACAACTGCAAATGTGTCAATCTATGCTCGATGGATTCGAGCAGCTTCTAGCCAATAAAATTTGCCAATTTGGTCAGTAATTAATTAACAGTTTGCCGCATGGGAACTTGTTCCGGATCAAACAAAGGGCCTTGACAGACGGGGGTGCTGCACTAGCTGTGATCGGCCCAGTCCGATTAGATGAAAAACTCTAATGGCCGTCTATTAGTAGCTACCTGATGTTTTGTAATCATCTATTTGACAAGAAAAACTCCTCATTCAGCTTCATTCAGCCGGGAACAAAGCTACGCCCAACTGTTGAGTCACGTGACCAAATGAGTTAATTTCATTGGCTAGAAGCTGCTTGACTGCATCAATTGCTGATAGCTTTGGCTGGAGTTCACCAAAAGGTCAACACATTTGCAGTTGAATTTTTTGCAGTTAAATTTTTACCAGTGTAAGGAATTAAATGTGTAATTCAGTTTTTGAAAAAATGGGTGTACAAAAAAAGGCACATTTCAATGAGACTGTTTTTCCTCCACAGTAATCGGCCTATGAATCTGGCCTCCCATGCAGCCCATGAATTTAAATTCATCTATTTTCTCCAGGTATGCTCGTCTCTTTCAGCTCTCTGTCACCCCCTAGTGGAAGCTTAATTCTGCACCCTCATAAAAATGAGCCCATTTTGCTTCTTAATACAACAAAGTACAGTGGGTACTTTGCACTTTTATCCTTCTCTTGGTTTTATTCTCAAACATCTTTTGAAGGAAATATAAAATAAAAAACAGGTCGTCTGAATATAAAAGAAAAAGAGGAAAAAGGGAAAAATTGCTGTTAGTGTGTGTTTGTGACATAGAGGTAAAAAACAAAAAAGCTGAGGTGAACAATTTAACCAGTTGATCCACTTTGACGATAAAACCGGCGGAGGAAACCACAGAATGGCAGCTGAGCGGAATGTAGGCGTGTTCAGTGAACAGCTAGGGGCGCCCAGGAAGGACGGGAATGAGGTTAAAGTGCAACTGAAAGAGTCTGAGGTCTGGAGGTTAGAGAGGAGATGAGAAAGAAAACATCTGAGGGGAACAGAACCCCAGAGAAGTTCTTACACTGAACAGAAACGATTAAATTAAAACACACTTAACCTGAGTTAACATGTAAGAGCAGTAAAATATAATCAGACCTCTGATAGAAAGATCGGATCCAGATCTAATCGTCTTCATTCCTGATCCCACTTCCTCCTCTGATGACCAACTCCTCTCCTGACGCCAGCTTCATGTACAGCGCTCGCAGGTCGTCGGGCCGCGGCGCCTTCGACTCAGGCGTGGAGGGGATGTCAAAGTCAGACGACGCCTGAGACATGGGCAGATCCTCGGGTTCTGATTGGACAGCGTCCGTCTTGGTATTCGGGGTCTGTGGGAGGAGGATCAGGGTGTCGTCCAGGTTCTGCGAGGAATGATTGGACAGAGAGGTGGACAGGGTCAGGCTGAAGGTTTCCAGGTTCTCCGGCGTCTGGTCCTCGTCGCTGAACAGGTCGGCAGTCTGCGACCCGGTCCCTCTGGAGGGGGAGGTGGCCGCGGCAGAGCAGCAGGAATGTGATTGGCTGTTCTGGCTGTCGCTCAGCTGCTCCGCCGTGAAGAAATCCTCCCACTTTGGGGCGTCTTTGCCTCCTTCTGCCTTCCTCTGGTCTCCTTTTCCCTTCTCCTCTTCCTCCTCGTCATCATCTTCGCCGTTGGACTCGGTGCAGTCAAAGTAGTTCTGTGCGGCAGACGTCGTGTCTGAGACCATGAGAGGTAAAGACATGGCCACAGGGGGCGCTGTTCTCTCAGCTGCTGCTTCTAAGTCTAGAAAGACAAAAGCAGAACTTTAAGACACTCCTGAATAATCCTAAACAACACGGTTTCCTTCCAGCAGCAGAGCGAGAGCCACTATGGATGGTTCAGCTTAAAGCAGATTCATCTGTTGGAACGGCCTAGTCAAAGTCCAGACTACAGTCCAACTGAATTCTAGAGAAAGACCATAAAACCTGACGATTGCAGCTGCTCTAAGACCAGTTAGACAGAGCTTGAGGAAAACCCAGAACAAGTGAGGAACCAACGCCTAAAAAGGTGGTTCTACAACAGTGCTGCATCAGGAAGGCAGAATAAATGCCGGCCGCACTTTTTAGAGCATATTGAGTCAGAAAAAAGCTGAAAACACTTAAAGCCATGAATCGTCTCCCTTCAACAACTTCCTGTCGTAAGAAACTCCTAATTATATCCAATTTAGCCAGAAGCTCAATAATTGTGAAAAAAAAAGTCATGTTTTCAAGAACTCCAAAAAATAAAAAAGTAAACAGCTGCACATTTATAGAAGTTTACCATCGAACATACACAAATGATTGCTTCTATACATTTTTTTATTTGATTTTTATTTGAAGCTTCTTTTTGCTTCATGAAGTGTCATGAATTGTCCCCCTGACCCCAAATATCAGGCCAGGAGGACACTTCCTTTCATCTCTACTATAAGTATTTTTGAAAGCTCAAATAATTTTTTTAAAAACAGAGTAAATAAAATATATATATATATTTGACGTAAAATTAAATAAGGGGAAAAAAACAAAGATAAAAGAGAAGAAAGTACCAGTTTGTGGTTCCTGGTTTAGGCTCATCTTCTTCCTGACTGGAGCCAGATCCAAACCTTCAAACAGGTCATCATCGCTGCCAGAATCTGAACAGAAACATGAACGCTGTGAATATCAAACCAACAAACAGACGAAACGGATGAAAGGAACAGCAGCTAAACGTCTTCCTCTCCTCAGTTTGGTTTCCAGAGCAATGATCCATTTATCTGTGGATGTGAGGCTGAGGTGCAATAAAATAAAAACCATTTAGGATCTTCACCCTGCTCCTCATGAGAGGAAATGTTCAAGAAAAACTTAATCAAAGGCCTACCGTGAGAAACCAGTGGCACCAGGTATAGCAACTAAGACAGAGGCACAGCATCAACATATATGGTTCCTACAGCATGAGGCTCATTAAATTAAGACTTTTAAGACTAATATAATTAAATTCAATTAAAAAATACTTAATTAATCCCAAAGAGAAATTAAATGTTGCAGTAAGTCGTATGTTTTTTCTTCAATCAGGTTTTATAGGTGCTGATAGCTGTAGGCAGGAAGGCTCTTCTGCAACTGTCTGTCTTGCACCGGATCTAGAGAGGCCTCTGATTGAAGATACTTTAAAAAACTTCTGAAATATGATGATAGTAAAACCACAAAAAGTTAAGCCAAACTTCACAGTAAACAAAAGAAAAACCGGGTTAGACAAATTTACCCAAATGTTTATTTGAGCATAAACCTTTACCTTCAGTAGAAATGTTTCAATTTTTAAAAACTTTCTTGCCAAAGTGAACTAAATGGGAGACGATGAAGGATGACGCCATTGTTGTGTCAGAGTGGGACTAAGCAAACTACCAGAAATAAGCCACAAAGCTTCTGGTAGAATGTCCCATGGACAAACTCATCATTATGCTAGAATTGTTTTCAATATTGAGTCTTTGGGTTCATTTTCTCAACTGTAGCCGAACACAAATCAAATGATTGGAATGGCTGGACTAGTTTCCCAGAGACCAGGTTTGGACGCCGGTGCTGATGAGTTTAATACCGTAAGTCGGCGGCTGAACTCGGCTCCGTTTCAGGACTCCCAGAGGCTTATAAACAGGAGCTGCTCCATCAGGCTGGTTCCTGCACATCAGCCTCAACCTGAACAGACATAAATAACAGTTTCTGTTATTAACATTTAACCAAAGGAGTCTGCAGAGAGACGGATCCTGCAGGTGTGCCCTCCTCCCGTCCCTGAAATCATTATCTTCTAAGATTTGTTTATATTGCCTTAAAACCTCAAGCTTCTCTAGATTTAAAAAAAATGTTTTAGGACCCAATACTACGATGGAGTAATACGACCAGGCAAGATAATTATTATAATTTTTTTAAACGAAAGTAAAGTCATACATTATGAGAATAATCTTGTAAAATTATAAAGTTGTAACATTACGAGAATAAAGTCGCAACGTTACGAGAATAAAGTCACTACGTTACGAGAATAAAGTCACAACGTTACGAGAATAAAGACGAAAATTTACAATAATAGGATCGTAACATTACAAGAATAAAATTGTAAATGTACGAGAATAAAGTCGTAAATGTACGAGAATAGGTTTGTAACATTACTGGAATAAAATCGTAATATTAAGAGAATAAAATCGGAACATTCCGAGAATAAAATTGTAACATTATGAGACTAAAGTCATATATTACGAGAATAAAGTGACAACATTACGAGAATAAAGTCGTAAATTCATGAGAATACAGACGTAAACTTATGAGAGTAAAGTCGCAACGTTATGAGAATAAAGTCACAACGTTACGAGAATAAAGACGAAAATTTACAATAACAGGATTGTAACATTACAAGAATAAAATTGTAAATTTACGAGAATAAAGTCGCAACATTACGAGAATAAAGTTGCAACATTACATGATAAAGTCGTAAATGTACGAGAATAAAGTCGTGAATGTACGAGAATAAAGTCGTAAATGTACGAGAATAGGTTTGTAACATTTCTGGAATAAAATCGTAATATTACGAGAATAAAATCGGAACATTCCGAGAATAAAATTGTAACATTACAAGAATAAAATTGTAAGATTATGAGACTAAAGTCATGTATTACGAAAATAAAAGTTGTAAATGTATGAGAATACAGTCGTAAATGTACGAAAATAAGTTCACAACACTACTGGAATAAAATTGTAACATTACAAGAATAAAGTTGTAACATTCATGACTAAAGTCATATACAACAGGAATGAAATCAGAACATTAAGAGAATAAAGTTGAAAAAATACGAGACTAAAGTCATAAAATTACGAGAATGAAGTCATTCACACCACAGCCAATTTCAGAAAGAAAGTTTCCAGCTCATAGTCGTTTGCAACATCGTTTCAAATTTGTGATAATTTAATGCTGAAAGACTTAATATTTCCTGATTTGTGAAAACGTTGCCAAAGAATAACTTCACATGATGCTCGACATTTCTCGTTTTAGGGAAGAAAGTGATTCTTGTCATTAAATACAACTTTATTCTAATAATGTTATGACTTTATTCTCATGTTAAAAATAAAAAAATCTCTAGCTTGGCCCTAATGCTCCGTCGCACTAATACAGATTTTTACAAATGATAATTATCATGGATTTAATGCAGGTGTTTTTTTATACAATTAAGGATTTAAATATAAAACCTGCAAAAACCTGAGAGACAAAGAGATGAACGGAAGGATGGAAAATGTTTCTGGAGCAAAAAACCTCAAGAAACAAACCTGTTCCTTTCAAACTGATCCCATCAAACCAATGAAGAACACTTTCAAATAAAAAAATAAATCAAACCTGACTCACATCTGAGTGACCTCGGTCAGCGTGCGTCCAATCGGGACAACGCTCGGAAAGATGTTGACGGGCTGCAGGTAGGACAGGAAGTCTTTGATCTGAAGATAAGAAGAATCAGTTTTGGGAAAATAACTTTATTAACATCATTTAACTGGAAACATTTCAGATATATTTTAATCATAAGACAGAAAATGTGTAAATAAAGCAAAAGTTTGACCTCTGAGTAGGAGGAGTGGAAGCTGAAACAGGCTCTGTACGAACTGGTCCCTGTTCTGGAGGAAAAGTTTCCCTTAGACAAACTGGAGGTCATTATTTTCTCTTCAACTAAAGGTATTTTCTTACTTTATGATGACGTTGGTCTTCTTTGTTCTCTCTCCGAACCACATGGTGGACGGTTTGATGCTGATGATGCGGAGCGGCGTCCCGTCAGCCGCCATGCAGCCACAAGGCAGCCTGTTTCCCTGGAAAAACTCCTCATCCTACACAAAGACACGGCACACGTTAAACATTTTAGAAGAAAACTGGAGCTACTTTGATTCTCTCCCAGAACAGACAAGGGTATTAAAAATAAAAGCCAACATTTGAAGACAGCAGGGTTTAAGATTTGCAGAAAGAGCCACATCATGTGGAGAAATTAGCCTTAATTTAAGATGCTGGGCTGTAATGAACGGTAACAAACGCCTAATATCAACAGCCCAGCACGGTGGTGGAGGGGTGATGATCTGGAGCTGGGCATAATTTAGTCAACCATTAAATGCTTTTTATTCCAGCGACTTAAAGCTGTATATAAATGAACCTTGAAACAAAAAATTCAGTTAAAGCACAAGACATACGGAAGCCCTGAAAGGCAAATGAATAAAAGTCTTGATAAGAGAAATTATAAGTTTTTCTTCATCTCTGGCCCAAAAATCAAGTGAAAAATAAATATTATGAATTTTTCCTGCCTTTTTGTGTAATAATTTGTTTCACAACGAGCGAAACTGTAAAACCACAGATCTTCAATCCAGATTCCTAAAATAAGGTATAATAAAATAGCATCGACTATATTTGATTTAGAAAAAAAAAAAACTGGAAATCGAAACCAAGACTTGTTTGTGTCATTAGTGGCGAAAGAAAAATAGACTTTGAAATAAAAGATAAGAGTCCCATCCTGTTGTTTGTGGTTAAAAGTTGATGTTTTATAAAACTGTTATAAGTGAAATATAAACTAAGTACTTATACTAATGATTAAAGCATTCCTATTCCAATTGTTCCCATTTCTAACAGTTATATCCAATTTATTGTGACACATTATGATAAACATTTACTGACAAAGTTTTAAGGTTATTTGGGAAATAAAGTCTTATTCCGTAGTTTAGCATGACACATTTTCTGTGTGTTTTTTTTTTTTATTTAAAGATTTAGTTTTAAGTTTGTACACTTATTTACAAACACTGACCAATGTCTTTACATGACTGCTGGTCCATTATATAAAACTTAGATAATTTAGGCTAAACTAATCCATGCATTTTTTTAAGGAAATGACCATTTAACACAAATGGGAGAAATAACAAAACAAAACGTAGAGTTAGGCACTATTAAACAAAAATAGACTTTTTCAGATCAGTTTTATTACTATTTAATGGCCCTAATGTTTGCATCTGCTTGATTATGGAGAGGTTCTGTATGTAGGATGCTTTGACTAAATGTCTTCAGCCACTGAATTGCAGTTACGGTATTTTCACGACTATAAGGTGTATATAAACGTCTTTTTTTCCCCTCAAAATGTGCGGCACGCCCTATGTGTGTTGTTACTGCTGACGTTGTTGAGACCACCATGAGAACGTTAAAGGGGGAAGTGTGGCCGTGGATTGTGTATAAAAGAACAGGTATGTGCTTTATGCAGAACTCCTCATCTCATTGTGGAGATGATGAAAGCGTGGCTGAGGGAGGTGGATGTAAGGAGACCAGGTGGTTTTTTCCACGCATCACCATCTCTGTTAATCTGTGACTCCATGCGTGCCCATCTCACAGCCGATGTGAAAAACATGGTGAAACGAATGAACGCTGTGCTCGCTGTTATTGCGGGAGGTCTGACAAAGGAACTTCAACCGCTCGACATCGGTGTGAACCGGCCGCTCAAAGTAAGGCTGCGTTCACACCGGACGCAGCAGGAGTTTACATGCAAAGTCAATGGTTGACGCGTGTCAAGGTGCAGCAAAAGGTCCCGCAGCGCGTTTTGAGCAGCTGAAGCAGCGCGTCTGGAGCGTTTAAGCATCTGACACGCGTGACGCGCCGCAAACGCGCTGCTGCTCGAGATGGAAAAATTGAAGTTTTGCTGCCGATAGAATATGTTCACTTTTATTATCCTGGTGCCTGCAGTTTGGATTGTTTTGATGAAAAACACCTACCAGCCGCCGCGGTGAACCGCGAGGAGGCTCTCGAACATAGGCAGCTGTTGAATTAAGTTTTCAGGTGGATTTTCTCACTTAAAAACATTAAAACTACTTTATTAATCACCACTGATCACAGCAACTATAGCTGCAAGGCAAAGAAAGGATAGGATAGCTCCTCCCAACGCGCGTCAGAAACACTTTTGCACCGCGCAGCCAGAGCAGCAAAGATGCTTCAGCCGCGCGTCAGAACTAACTGGTATATTCTAAACTGCAGGCACCAGGATAATAAAAGCGAACATATTCTGTCGGCAGGTTTCAGCATTTTAAGTTTATTTATGCGTCAAAAAACTGTTTCAGAGGAGTGATCACAGCGCTCTGATCATCTGCGATGTGTCTCTCTCTCTGCCAGCTCCCAGGTTTGAATGATACTTTGTAATAAATACATGAATAAAGCACAAACACACTCAGTTTTGCTCCCGCTCTATTTTTAAATACGCAGTAGAGGTATTTAAACATAGTAGAGGACATGTACCGGTATATAAAACCCGCGCCCTATAGTCCGGTGCACCTTATGTGTGTGTTAAATACAGTAATGGCAACATAACTGAGACTGCGCCTTTTAGTACGGTGCGCCTTATGGTCGTGAAAATACAATAATCACCATGACTTTAGGTAACAGGCTGCATTACAGTGAGCCAAAGCAGGGAGGCCTCCTATGAGGGTATAGAGATACATTCATTAAAAAAGTTTGATTTAGAAAACTCTGGTGGCCAGGCTGGCTGCTCCCTTCAAATCAAACATTTTGTTCTACGGATTCTAACGGAAAAAGCAGGAAACAAAGGTTCAGCATTGCGGCTGCCCTGGTAACCCTTTGTAGATGACAACGGCACGGTTTTTATGCCCCTAAATAAATGAAATGAAGATGTAGAATGGAACCTTTGGGTGCCGGCAGGCGTGGATCTGGGTCCTGCGGTCGGTGGTCACGTAGCTCAGGATCTCTGGCATCTTCTTGAACATGGCCGGGCTGTTAACATGGATCTGCAGGAGGAAGCGTACGCTTAAAACCAAAAACCCTCAACAAGCACTTGAAGAAACAGATATGGGTATTGCCAAAGAAGTCACGATTTGATTTGAACCACGATTCACATGCCACAATGCAATTCTATCTCGATGCGTCACAATACTTGAAATATAGAGAAGCATCGCATTTTCACTGAACACTGTTAGAAACAAATACAGCCTTATTGAAACGACTTTTGGAGGTGCTGCCATGGAAACAAATACCGGAAAAAAGTATTACTATTACTGGAGTGGACACACTGACAAAAAGTGCTTAGGATTTATAAAACTTTAAATAACAAAATAAGGATAATCAGCGCCGTTTACATGGCCTCAGTGGTCCTTTAAACCAATGAAATGGAAACACTCCAATATATGACATTTCCCCTTTTGCTAATAGGGCTTGGTCGTCATGACGTAAGCACTTTGCGTGGCCGCCATCTTGAAGGCCTCCTTTACCACTACTCAGACTACTGCCTATGACTACCGCGTACTGTACTCCCTCTCAGCCGTGTTTTAATTCGATTAATTTCACCTTAACTTGGTTTCAACCATGGTAAACCGTTGCTGTATTGTGGGCTGTAACAGCGCAACACATGATCGCCATGGAAACATAGAAAATGGGTTAACTTTCCACCGCTTTCCTGAATGGACGCGTAACCATGGAGACCAAGTGTCGGAGATAAAGAGTCGTCGGCTAGCTTGATCCTGGCTGTACGATGACCGAACATAACTTTCCACAGTATTCCGATGTCAATGAGAGTGTGTTTCCTAGATTTTCATTCTGGTAAGTTAAAGATGCACGGTTTTATTTTATAGCTTACTTTGTTTCTTTCCTTCAAAGTTGGGATCTTTTACGGGAAAATAATAAAAACGGCAGCGGGAAAAGGCTCAAATACGTGAGAAACCCGGAGGGTTGGCAGTTAACGTTACTAACTACACCTTTGAAACACATAGCAGCTAGTTAAAAGTACATTACATGCGTGAGTGGTTGTTAGCATTAGCGGTTAGCAGTTGCTAAACTAGCAGGTTCCAGAGCCCGTCTGATCACAGCTTACCTTCGTACGGATTACTGTGTTCCCACTGTTTGCTGGCTTTATGATCTGCAGCTCCTGAACCCATCCATTCATGAACTGGATATGAGACTCCAAGGACTTGCAGCTTGGGAACTGTTTTGAAGTATAGGCGCTCACCAATCGGTGCTCCACTCATTGTTTGGAACTTTATATGGATCCAAATGATTAATAATGCTGATTTTGTCAACATACCGGTCCCTGGCTTCTCTATTTAATGTGTCCCGGTAAATTCCAGATCCTTTTCGGGATTTTAACATCTTTTTTCTCTCTACTTCTACGTCTCTTTGTTCAACAACAACGTTGTATCAGAGCTATGTTTACATTCGCGTAGCCCTCAACATGGCCGCCACGTCCCACAATGCAACGCGGATCCCAAGCCCTATTACGTGCATCATATCAATTTCATTTTTACCTTCATTGTTTTTGAAGCCAAAATAAATCCAAACATGACTTGAAATGCGATTGAGTTGGGCGAATTTTCTCAGTCTCCATGTTTTGTTTATGAATGACTCGTCTTAGCATCCCGCGGGCGTCAACACATTCACAGCGACATCTACTGGACTGGAAGTTGTATTAAACTTTTTGGCTGATTGGTGCCAACCATTTATTTATTCCTTTTTTTTCATTAAGAATCAATTCCTGCCATCAAGACTCAATGCAAAATTTAGAAAAATTAGAATTGCGATGCATATTTTGCACAGCCCTAGTACCCGCCTTCCATAATACGCTTTCAGCCAATCGTTGTAGTGTTTTCAAAACTAGTGTTGTTAGATCATAAATTAAACTTTTTTCAAACACTGGGAGAAAAGCACAAACATCTTCCCCATCTGCAAATGCACAAACTGCTCGTCTTTGCTCCTCTTTAAAGGAGAAATTGAAGCTATTTTAGCTAAGAGTCAATTGCTGTATCATCAGGTGAGTCCTCCAGCGTAGCGATGCTTTAATGCCCCGGCAAGGCCGTTCTGACTGCCGCCATTCCTACCTGTCGCCCCAAAAACACTGCTGGGATGTCATTGGTCCGACTCGCTGGTTGTTACACGTATTAGCGGGAGTCTTTCAAGATGGATTTGCTGTGAGACTGAAAACTCAGACCTAGTAACAATCCAGGTTTAGGGCAAGGTTACAGATTTCTGCTCCTTCTGACTAAATCCAAAGATTGTAGATTTGTTTCAGTTTAAAGCTTTTAAACATGGAGCTGAAAATCAGACTGTAGGGGGCTGTAGTTTCTGGATGGAAGAGGAATTTATTAGATCAGATGGATGAGGAAATCAATCAAACACCTGTGTGCCAAACTCATCTCCCAGGTTGGTAAACAGGTATTCGTATCCATAGGCAGCTTTACAGTTGAGCCAAACCACATGGTAGGAACTCTGGCTGATCCAGTTCCCAATGAGCTCTGAGATTCCTTTCAAGCAGATCTCCTAAAAACAGAGCGGCCAAAAATAAAAGTTAGAATGTGGAGCATCAGAGGGACGATAGATAAAGAGAACAAGACTCACCCTACTGGGGATCTGGTAGAAGCGCGGGTCGTAGAAAGTGGAGTCTAGATAAATACTCTGAATGTCTTTGACCCTGCAGGAAACAGAAACGGGTGTCAGGGCGGACAGAACCCGCCAGGACGGACAGAATACGTCAAGATGGACAGAACCCGCTAGGACGGACAGAAGCATGAGGACGGACAGAACCCGCTAGGACGGACAGAAGCATGAGGACGGACAGAACCCGCTAGGACGGACAGAAGCATGAGGACGGACAGAAGCATGAGGATAGACGGAACCCGTCAGGACGGATGGAACCCGCCAGGACGGACAAAACCAGGACAGATAAGAAACACTTTCTGACTCCACCTGCTGCCAGAGTGCAGATGCTCCATCCTGGACACGTCTCCAACAGCCAACCGGAAATCCCCGGTGTACAACACGTTTCCATGACGACCTTCAAAGAGGAACCTGAGAACAACAACAATACGGTAAAACTTTGACAGCTAAACACCCCAAAGTTACATGAAAGAAACAACACTCAGTAGATCCAGATGTGTTGTAGATCTGTAATAATAGAGTCACTGTCCACCGCCAAGACAGTGACTCTATCATTTATATATACTCTATCAATTACTTTTATCATTTAAAGGAAAAGTCCAGTTATATTCAAAATTGCGGTGCGGTATCGGCTGTTGATCAAGTCCCAGTGCTGTATCTGGTGTTTGTCACAACGCGCTATTATCCAAGTCATCTTGAAAACATTCTTCTTCCAAATGTTGGCTACATATTACGGGTTTTTTCTCTGGCCAGAAGTTCGATGGCAAATCCTCCCTCTTCAAGTTGGCGATCCAACGACCAACCCGTCCGTGGAGGATCAGGAATCAGAAAGGTGGAATAACTCTTTTTTCACTTTTACCCGATGTATTCCAGCATCCAGCTGCCATGCACGTGGGCATTGTCAGTTTCACTATAGCTCTGGTGAATTTCAATGGTGAAGTCCTCTGGAAATCTTCAATAATTGTTGTTGATTGCAGATGTGTCTAGTAGTTCCCATTGATTTAGCTTGGAAAGCGGGGAGAATGGCGCTAGGCTTATCGCACCGTGACGTCACTGCTGGAAGATGGCAGGAGGGAGGGGTTACTATATTTGGGCAAAAATTATTAACGCTACATTCATTAAATCACCGGAACGTATTAGTTTTAGGTTTAAATAATGATCCATTGATTATTCCTGCTGACCGAACTTTTCCTTTAAGCCAGAGAAAAGCTCATTAACCCAACATAAAGAATTAGGTCTAAACGAGTCTTTAGGCTCTAATTGACAAGCAGCCAAAAGGACTTCATATTTCTATTGTTTGATCAAAGGAAACACTGTTTTTAAATGAGGAAATTGGATTTCAGGTCCCGTCCGGCGACCAAGTTCTGAGAACTTTAAATTTTAGCAGCAACAGAATTCAGACCTTCAGCAAATATTAGCATTAATGCAAATCTGCATTAGCAGGAAAACGAGTTCAAATAAAACACTGAGGAGAGTTTGAGGAGGGCCTGACTCACATGACCGATCCAGGACAGTGGCCCGCAGGAAGCAGCGTCACCACGATCTCTTCTTTCTGACCAACAAACATAAAGATGAACGGCAGTCAGAAACACTGAAAGGCTCTGATTAAAGCTGCGACCGCAGACACCGACCTCTCCAGACGCTTCATCCACCAGGGAAATCTGAGTTGGGCTTTCCAGCTCCAGGGGAACCTGTGACAGATGGTTTAAGAACAAAGGAAGCATCTTTTCTGGTTGGTTTGGATCTGAGGTGATAAGATGCTGCAGAGAGCAGAAGAAGACAGACTTACGATATATTCCTCCCAGAAAGCGTACTTTGGATTGTTTAGCAGCAGCTCTTTGGTCACGAAGGAGCAGTAAAGTCTGACAGTTCGACTGCAGCAGAAAAAAAATGAAACCATTACATTTTTTTCTTTTTTCTCTTTCATGACCTTTTTGGTTGTAATAGTTTGCTGTTTCATTGTTTATTTTCATTCCAACAGGACAAAATCATGACTTTTTAAATGTACGTCTTCAGTTAATAATTCTAGTATAATAAAATGCAAAAAAAAAAAAATGTTTTGGGAAATAATTAAGGAAATAAGGCAATATGACCATAACTCCAGAGAGTCTGATAACAGGGTGGCCATATGTGCGGCTTTGGGATTAACATTGCACTGTCCTGTGTTTATTCTCCTTTATGGGGCACCAGATTTTTTTACATTATGCTGGGCGGCAGATCAATATCTGATCAAAGAATGTAAAAAAAAAAAATGGGATGTAAGCAGTCAAGGGAAACCTGCAACTGAACGGCAAGGGAGTCCGGATTAACATAAAAGTAATAAAGTGCTGCAGGTAACTCATCCGGCTTTTTGTCGTGACGTTTCTTCGCCTCTGGAAGCTAAACTAACTTCTGCAGAGCTGAGCACAGTGGAGCAGACTCTTTAACATCAGCAGGAGTATAGACTGTGGAGTGAAAGTGGACCGGGAGACTTTCAGGGACTCGCCCACATCTAAAGGGGCCACCTTAAAGACTGCAGGTCTGCTGCACACTAACAGACATTAAAAACAAGTTCCCAAAATACTGAAGCTCTTTTAAAAAAAGCTATACTTTATAAATGTGGTTTTTTTTTTCCAATTTCTTAATTTGTTTAAATAAAAATATTAGGATTGTTTTTATTACGTATGTTAATTTTAACATTAAATTCAACACGTTATACTTTTCGGCATTCTACACTTTAAAAGATTCATCTCATTGGTCATTTTTTGAACACATCAATGTATTGAATAAATACAAATACTGGGAACTCGGGCTGCAACTAACGATTATTATGCAAAATAATCTGTCGATTACTCTGCAGATTCATTGATTAATAACCGGATAGCCAAAGGTTCCTTAAAGAAGATTTTTTATTAACATAAACCAGGTTAAACTAAAATGTTTCCACTTGAGGAGTTATTGACAGACAAAAAAGATCTTTTTATCTTAAATCCAAAATGTTTATATTTATTTTTTTTGGTATAATTCCTGCTCTAAGTGGGTCACTCTCTCAGCTAAATGGATGTTTTGGAGTCTCTACATCCAGCTAATGATTAATTGATTACTAAATTACCCGGTAATGATTATTACTTTTTTTACTTTTCTTGAATATTTCCTATTCAGCTACACAAGCATCCTCTTCAAGTCCCTCAAAATTTTACTATAAATGACAGTATACCAGATCCTTATTAATCTATTGATAAGCAGAGGCGGATTTACCATTAGGTAATACTAGGCAGCTGCCAAGGGCCTCAAGTTCCTGGGGGCCCCATAAAACTCTGTTTGAATGTATGGTTAATGCAACTATTCCTTATTTGTGCACAATAATTATGTTTTTGTTAAAAATCTGCAATCAGAACACTTATAATATTAAGTGTGTCTCAGGTTAAGCAGATTCTAAGAGCCCTTGACTGAAGGGGGGCCCAAAAGAAAAATATTTTTCAAATTTAAAAAGAAAATCCAGCAGTAAAATAAACAATCTTCATATTCTCCCTCGGTTTTCAGCCGTAAACAGTCAAACAAAGCATGAATACATGAATAGATTTCTAAACCATTAGAATATCATATTATACCATAAATACATTAAATATTATATTATATAATAACATTTTATACCATTAAAAGACATCTATAAAACTTGATCATTCTCATGATCAGCCTGAAGCAGCCAAACCAAGAATACATGTTTTGTCATTAAATATACATGAATAAAACATTTATTCTCAGGGCCAGCATAAAAATAACCTTTCCTTTAATAAAGTTATACTGAAACCTAATCTGTAAATTAAACTTTTTCACATTATGATAATTTAACAATAAAAATGTAAAACAATTAACAATATAAATGATAATCTTTAGTGCATCTTTATAGCAGTTTTAAAGCTCGCATTTTATATGGGCTGGGGGGGGGGGGGGGGTCCCGATATCAATGTGTTTTATGGGGCCCCAAAATTCGTGTCTGCGCCCCTGACCAGAGCCGCTCACCTGAACTGTAGTTTCCTCTTCAGCAGGGGCCCCTTCAGTCCCTTCATGTGGTCTGATGAAAGAAAACACCTGACGTCACAGAGCTGTCACTGCAGAGCGAGGAAAGCTTAAATAACCTGTTAAATCACCTTTGTGGCAATGCGAGAGGAAATACGCCTGCGCGTGCAGGTTCTCCCGGTCGAACCGGTCCAGAGACACGGTGGGATATTCCCGCATCCGCCCTGCGAACGAACTCATCCTTCAGCCGAACCGTTTAGCCCCAAACTACAGCTGGTTCTGCTGCGGTCCATCATTACTGACTGGATGCAGTCCGCCCAGTTCAACCGCTCTTCTTCTACGCTCCAACCAGGAAGTGTTCGAGTAATGCCGCCATCTGGTGGCTCAATGCTCCATAACAACCATAGAAAAACAACTATTACAAAAAAAAAAAAAAATTAACTATTACTATTATTATTAGAAATGAAAACTATAAACACGACTAAACAAATGTCTATGATAACATATGGCCTCTTGGCTCATAATTTATCAAAAGTCTCTACTTTAAGGTCAATCGAAAAAATAATTTATATTTTTCTTTGAGTAATCAAATAATCTTGAGGCGCAGCCTTACTTTGCTTTATGTTACACACTTCTTAAAAAAAATAAATAAATTCAAATTCATTGTGAAATCCATGTAATAACAATCTGATTGCAGAATGGAAGGCTGTATTTTGGAGGGTATTTATGATTCTTTCATCGCCATCTGGTGGAGGTTTCTGGCAAAACAACAAAGAACACACACAAAAAAAATAAAAATCCCAAAGGTTCACTCTTTCTGCTGCAACTGAGCTGCCTAAAGATATATAAAAAAATTCTGTTCAGTGATGCGTTTGTGAGCTGCATGTCAGGAGTGGTGATAAGGCTTGAACTCGCGTACCAAACTCATCAGATGCAGACCAACTGAAACGATCAGTTATCCTTCTTAAGTTAGATTTTTTACTTTATTTGATGGGGATTTTATAAGGTCTTCCATCATTAATGTTTTACCGCAGGGTAAGAACAACCATTTCATTTTCTATCATTTGAAATGTTTTGTAAAACACAAGTATTGTTTTCCATAAGATACATTTAATGCCCGTTAACTTGTCTTGTGACTCTTTATAGAACTAAAGATTGTATTTTCTGCTGGAGTTAATCTCTGGGCCCGTCACATTTTTCTCATGTGATGGGAACAGCATGAGGGCAGATTATGTGTTAACTCCATCGCCTCTCACATCTGGAGATTTCTCCCTTGATGTAGAAATTGTCCTAATCACCCAGATCAGAATTTTTTTTTCTAATTTATCTTTGAATAAGACAGCTGACCCAGGGGGGGATTTACCATTAGGCAATACTAGGCAGCTGCCTAGGGCCCCAGGTTCCACGAGGCCCCATAAAACTCTATTTCCATGTATATTTAATACAACTATTCCTTATTTGTGTTTATTAATTCTGTTTTTGATAAAAATCATTTTGTTAAAATGGCATCAGAACAAATCAGAGCAAATACAGGGATTGAAGTATATTTCCGGCTAGTAGCGACTGCCCGTGGGAAAAAAAAAAAAAAATCACTTGAAAATACATATATATATATATATATATATACACATAACAATGTATGTCTATTCTATTAAAATTTATCTATCTGTAAAATGGGTCTGTTTTATGTGTTGTTTTCTCCATACAGAGGGCCCCCTACCTGTCTTTGCCTAGGGCCCGAAATTTCTGAAATCCGCCCCTGAGCTGATCCCACCAGATGACATCACTGAATAAAAAACTTTCTGACAAAAGTAAAGTTTTATTATTATTACTTACATTTTATTAATTAAAAACATCATAAAATTAGATTTTTAATAATAATAATATTAAAAATAAGTGAACAAAGTAAAAAGGCACTAAAATTTCCCACGAAGAAGAAACGTCGGAGGTGGAAGGCCGGAAAGATTGCATGTGGATGGTCGTTTGGTGCATGGCGCGTGTTTTGAAGCTGCTTATGGAGAAATGTCTTGGGCCGTGAGTAGTGAGGAAACAGGAAGCGATTCTTGTGGGATGGAAGAGGGAAATAGTGACAATGAAGGTTGGAAGATAGCAACATCAAAAAAGGAGAAAAAGCGGAAAAAACAGAGATCAGTTCAAGGGGAATCTAGTTCAGAACAATCCAGTGATGATCATTCCATACATTCCACAGCACAACAAAATGAATTCAAAGTCATATTCAAAGTCGTTAATCAGGCAGACTCTTTTACAAATTGGAATCCGGTTCACTTAACAAAAACCATCAATAAACTTGTCGGAGAAGTCAGAGGTGCCAGAATTCTGTACAGTGGAGACCTGCTAATTATCTGCAGAGACAGCGCCCAGCAAGGCAAAGCAATACGGATCAACAAAATTGACGGGATAAGAGTTCAGTGCAGCTTAATGGAGAACAAAAAGTTCAGCAGGGGAGTCATTGGAGGAGTTCCTCTAAAAATTTCTGAAAAAGAGATTCTGGAAAACATAAGAGGTGCAAAAGTAAAAGAAGTAAAACGGTTAAAAACAACAAGAAACGGAGAAAGATCTGACAGTTTATCTGTGCTAATTAAATTCGAAGAAGAGCAATTACCAAGCAAAGTATTCATCGGTTACATAAGCTATAATGTCAAAATCTACAATCCTCCACCATTGAGATGTTTCAAATGCCAAAAATTCGGTCACATTGCAGCAGTTTGTAAAGGGAAACAGAGGTGTGGAAGGTGTGCAGGAGAACATGAGTACGGAAAATGTGGAAAAGAAGCTAAAATAAAATGCTGTAATTGTGGTGGAGAACATACTGCTGCCTATCGCGGCTGTGAAGCAAGCAAAAGGTCTGAGGAAATTAAAAAAATGAAATTTGAGCTCGGAATAACCTACGCTGAAGCTGCAAAAAGGATCCCATCTCAGTCAGAAAAACCCAAACCTACAGTTCAACACACAGCAAATTCCAAACCTCTAGAGAAATCTCTAAAAATTGATGAAGACTCACTTATTGTTAAAAAGACAAATTTTGTTCTTTTCATGGTAGAAGTTATTAATTGTACTGCACAGACAACAAAAAAAACGGAAAAAATCAAAATAATAGTGAAGGCTGCAGAAAAATATCTGGACATTAAAGATTTGAACTGGGAGATGGTTGGAAGTATGATGGGAGGACCGATGGGACCATCAGAAACTGGCAGAGTTAAGATGACCTAGAGTAAATTAAAATTATATGGGCAAATGTGATTTAGTATTATGTTGGTTTAAGTTACACAGGTTTTTTTTTTTTTTTTTTTTTTTTTTTTTTTTTTTTTTGGGGGGGTGAATCGTTTCCTGTTTTCTTGCTTTACTCCATATCAGTTGGTGGCGGTAATGCACAATTCACAAGTCTGCCAACCGCCATAAAATCCCATAAGAAGAAGAAGAAGAACAAAGTAAAAAAAAATGTAACGCTAGATTGTTTTACTTCTGAGTTGTATGTCAGTGAAGTGAGATTTCCCGATCCTGCGTACGTCCCTGAACGTCTCTCGGTCGGCTCAACAGAAAATGGTGTCACCTTTAAGGAGCTTGAAAAGTGGAGCTTATTCCCTTTAAATCTGACCTTCTATCAGGCTGTTTCCAGTCGGATCCACTCGGGAACTGTGAGGTGAGTGAAAACCGACCGAATCCAAACGGTTTGCGGCTTATTTGCTTCTTTTCTTTAACTTATTGTTTCGGTTTTTTTAGTTTTATTTTGGAGCGTCGGTTCCATTAGCTTAGCTTAGTTAGCCTGATGGGATTTAGCCAGAAACTGATAAATATGAAGAATACTTTACCACTCCACTATAGTTTATATTTAGTTGTTTTAACGTCAGGAAATCATGTTTTCGACGTCAGTTTAAGGCAAAGTCGGTCACTGCGGGACAGATGTGGGTTCATGAGCTTTAAAACAAACAATCAAAGGTTTATTTAAACAGATAAGCTGCGTTTGAATCAAGCTAGCAGTTAAAATGTTCACTGAACTGGAAGTCCGATATTTCCCTTCTAACTTCCACTTATTGTTTTGATGCTTAACGCTTCATATTACTGATTTAAATACAATTATATATGATTTATTTATATATATATATATATAGCCCAATAACCTTAATATCCAGTTAGGTTGCTTTATTTTCTCAGATTAATAGGCAGAAACTAAATGAAATTACATTTTTAAAGTCACAAAAATTTGATCTAAAATTAATTTTCCAGATCAGATTATTTTTTTTAATATATGAAAAGATTTGAAATAATGTCAAATTTAAAGCTGCTTATAAATGATTTTGTGTGCTATCAAACATGGTGATGGCAGTATTATGCTCTGGGCTATTTTCATTAGTTGGAACTGTTAGTTTTTTTCTGAATCACCAGTCAGTTTTGACATCAGTTCATATGACAGAGTAGCTAGTGGCGTATTTTTCTTTTTTTTTTTTAATTAAATCACCTCTAGATTTAAAGGTAAATAAAGTTTTGGATAAACCTTTTTTTTTTTCAGATAATAGTTTAAAAAAAATCCCTTATAAAATGTTTATTCTTCTGATAGATTTTTAGGGCAACCTTTTTGGTTAAATTGAATTAACCCCTTTTAAATCCCACTGGTGTCAATTTTTAAACGTAGGGTAGAGCCTGATTTAGTCGATAAATGTTCCAGATCTTTCCATTTTCCTCAGATCTCTGGATTTCCGTCCAACTGTTTCTCCTGGTGTGAAACTAACATGATGGCTGATTTTTCTGAAGTGTGGGCTCAGTTTAAGGAGCCTAGTGAATCACAAGGCGGCGCAGGAATGTAGCTTTAGGCCAGGTTTATAATGAGTCTCTTGTTCTCACCAAGTCTGTTTTTTTTTTCTGCTGATAAAGCTCTGTTAAGGCTGGTTTTTTTATGTTTCTCCTGCCTTCTCAGCCAGAACAGGAGGAAGTGAACACAGCTGCACGACTTTTCTAACATTCCCCCCCCTTCTCTGTGTGCTTTTTATTCTTTTCACTCTGAGAGCAAAAACACCACGTGTGCTTTTGCTTGTTTAGTCTAAATTTCACCGGCGGCTCCAGGTGCGCTGAAAGAACTGAATGTCAGCAGGTTCTGCACCACTTTCGCTTTATCAAAAAGAAAAGCATGCATCTGGTCTAAAAAATAATTTAAAATATAAACTTTGATATCTGATTGACTCAGTCAAACAACTACTTATTAATGAAATATTTCTGTATTATATATTAACAGCAGTTTTCCATCTAATGTTTAAATTCTGATGGAAGAATAACCTAATTACAGCTAATTTAAAGGAGAGAGAATTATTCATTGTAGATTAAGTTTTTCCTGTGTTTATAATTGTGCTGTTATGAAGAAAGAACAACATAATATAACTAAATGTATATTTATAATATATAATTTTATCTGATCAAACCTGCTGCCTGTTTTCACGGCTTTAAAGGTAAAATGCAAAAGGAAGAAACCGACATTTTATTGTAGTTTAACAATGAAAAATGTTTTCCAGCCTCAAAAAGGATGAAATGTGTTTGGGAAACGGTTTAATTTTATTTTTTTTATTTTTGTTTGCTGAGATTTCAGCTGTAAAGAGGAGAGGGGTTTCTGTTGCTGCTTCCTGATCTGATTCTGGGTGAAATCGACTTATAAAAAGGTTAAATTAAGAAGCTGTTGTTTGTTTTTTTATCTCTTAATGCTGTAGAAATGAAAGAGGGTGACAAATGTGCTAAAATTAGCTGCTCAGTTTGGCAGTTTATCTAAATCTATCCGGTCTTTAAGCGTCGCTGTGTTTCACACATCCTCAAATGTTTCCATGCAACATCTCACCTCAGCCTGCAGAAATGAAGCTGAACCATTTTCATGTTCAAAGTTCACCAAACCCACAGCAGAAACAGGAACTACTTCCTTCAGTCCTCCACGTTTCATCAGACGACACCACAGGTTTGCATATTCAGAGCCTGCAGAAGTATTCGCACCCCTGGAAAGCAGCGGATGCAAATCTAGAAAGTTCGTCAGTGAGAGGAAAGTTTTCTGCTCTGCTTTCTCACTGCTGACATTAACAGGAAGCAAAGCAGAAGGAAGTTGGGTTAAATCTGTTTTTCTCTTGCAAACCTTTGCCACTGAGGGAAACCACAATCCTTCATGTCACAAAATCTGTCTGCTCATCAATTTTAATGTAACGCGACCCAAATTTAGCTAAAAACAAAACAGAACCAGAAGAACTTGGATCGTGGAAATGTTCTGTAACATTTCCTTTTAGCTGATTCACTTCATTATTCAAAGGAAAGTCAAAGAAGTCTTGTGTTTTAGTGGATAAGAGGTAAACGATGAGTCAAAGCTTTTAAGTTTTGTAGTTTCTAAATTTAAACATGCATCAACATTTTTTTTCATCTCCTGCAGTTAAAAGGTGGAGTTTGGTTTGAAAAACAATGAATCCTGTAGATTATTTCCTCCAGATCTACTAGTAAAGATCATTTAAGGTCATTACAGATTATTTTGACATCATTCTAATCATTCTTTTCTAGATCATTTCTTTAGGCCCATTTTCTCTTCCTCCATTATAGATGATTAACATTTACAGAAAAAATACTAAAGTCTTGGATTTTAAACTAAAATAAATCAAATCAAACGTTAACAATGGATGGCAAACGGACAGAGCAGAATCTTAACGCTGTACTGAATGCGTTAATGAATCAGTGAAGGCGTGCCGTATCAGCCGATACAAAGAAAACCACCAATAACATCAGCTGACCAATGTTTTCGTCTCTCTTTGACCCATTTCCACTATCCAATCTGAAACCGACCCGTGCTGAGTTCAGTCTGAGCTTGGATCAGTTAACCGCACCGAGCTCGGTTCTAAAGACCATTTTCACATCACGCTAGCACGCTTCCTGCCTCCTATCGGCGCTCAGCGATGGTACAGCTACAGAGGTTTGAACACATTCCTCCCTCCTACGGAAACCTCTGGGAACCAGTATATGAACCAGTGTCTGAGTTCTTTATCCCAACATTTATTTACTTATTTCCATCCATCCGGTTTTTTTTCCAGGTTTATGTAAATATTATTCTCTACAGAAATTAAATCCAACTCCAAGATATTTAGTTTCAAACTGAAAAAGGTTCAAGATTCTTAACCGGTTTTAGATCTGGTACCTGGTAGCGGACTGTGATCTTTGTTTCTCTCTAACTCTGCGGTCTGATCCGCCTCAGGTGCAGAAAGCCTCCTACCTGTCCAGCCTCCATCATGTCTCCACCTGTTCGTTCACATTGATGCGTCCGCCGGCGCTCTGCAGCAGAAGACGGCTGGAAATGAGCACCCACAGGTGGCCCAACATCTCCAGGAGGCGGCGCTGCTGAGACGGGATCGCTTGGTGACGGTCGAGAGTCCGCCGCCGCCGCCATGGACGAGTTCTCCACCAGGACGTACGGCACCAGCGGCCTGGATAACAGACCTCTGTTTGGAGAGACGTCTGCTCGGGTACGAGGACGCAGGAGGGATGTTGGTCAGAGAGGAAGATTTCTGTGTTTAGATGCAAACATGTCAGAGTTTACCAGCTGAGTTCTGTTGCAGGATCGGATCGTCAACATGGTCGTAGGAGGCTTTACGTCTGTGGTTGTTCTGGTGAGTCCAAGCTTCAGTTTCCCCCCCAGACGACTGGACATTTTCTCCCAGATTTCCATGACGGAGCCACTGCCGTGCTTCACTAAAGCCAGAGCGCCCTGCTGCATCTAACGTGCGCAGAGGCTCCAAATAAAAAAAATCTGCTTTGATTTAATCTGCTGGGTTTTGACTTTTATCTCCAAGATACTTTGTGCTAAAATGAAATAAATCTTTACTGCAGGAATTTAATAAATGAATTTAAAACCAACTTTTAGAAATGATAAAAACAGCTTCCTGCTGAAATCTGGTCTCTAAAAGCTTTAAAACTTCCCTGTGATCAGAATGAGACCTTTCAGCTTTGGCCTTAACGTTTATCTGCCTGTTTCCTAGGTAACGGTGATCGGCTCGTTTGTGTTCCCCTCGTTGACTCCGCAGCCGCTCAACATCTTCTTCGCAGTGTGCATCCTGCTGGCGTGTGGCTCTACCATCGTTCTGGTAACTCATCCCTCAACTTGTATGGATTCATGCCGTCCATCCGCAGCTCGATTATTCCGATTTTCCAGCCGCTTAGCCAGATGTTTGACACGATGTTTGTTTTGTTTTTAAATATAAAAACGCTGTTTCAGTATAAATAGATTTCAAATGTTCAGAATGCAACAAAAAGCCAGAAGCTTCAACCTGAAAGGCAAAGTTTAATTATGTAGAAAACATATTTCCAAGTCAATTTTTTCCCATTTCTTCCCCTGCAGATCTTCTGGTACCGACAGGGCGACCTGGAGCCCAAATTCAGGAAGCTGATCTACTACATGCTGGCCACCATCATGCTGCTGTGTTTATGTGCCAACCTTTACTTCTTCGACGTCAGGTAGAGGAGGAGCGGACGGCGCGGCTCTGACTGACGGATGGCGGTCCGGCGTGGACAGGCGGACCGACACGTGACCAAAAGAGAGACTCGTTTCCACCGAGAGGCTTTCTGGGACCAAAAGTTTCCAGTAGGAGGGATTTATGTCAGCACACTAAAAGTTCAGAAAGGAGCCATGAATCAGCCTGGGGGGGACGAAGCAGGCTTGTTTACATGCAAATAAAAGATAACAGTGACTTAATTGGCATCCCGACGCTCCGGTGAGGATCCAGGAGAAGGAAAGCTGCCCTTTCATCCGGATACGTCCATTTTTCTGGGATGGTTTCCGTTTTAGCTGGGCTGACTCATCTGAAGGCCAGAGGACTCATTCAGGCTGGATTATCACTACTCAGGGAGGAGGAGGAGAACCTAATCTCCTCTAAGGCACGGAAATCAAGGGTCTGGACTAAGATAAGCCTCCAGCAGGGGGCGCCAGAGTCACAGTGATATAAAACAAGCTGAATGATGAATGAAGTAAACTATTTTTGTCTACTAATGTGATGAAGAGTTAAAAAGTGATTTTGTTTTCAGTGCAGATTGATAGAAAGTGAAGCCGAAGTCCCGATCAGCTGCCTACATTTCTACATGTTCAAATCTACTCTTGGATATAAATTACTTTAAACTAAACCGTGTCCTTTGGATTTAACAGCTAGTGGTGCGTTCAGGGGAGGCTCTATGGTCAGGAAACCTCATGTTCTAAACCTCAGAGCTTTATTTAGTTAAATGGTTTTAATTTCGGCTGCAACTAACGATTATGCAAATCGAATAATCTATTTTATTTTTCGATTAATAATCGGATAGTCAAAGGTAACTTAAAGAAGACTTTTTTTTTTAAATTAAACCATAAAGCATACTGACAGATGAAAAATGTTTTTTTTATATATATATATTTTTTACAATCTTGCTATAATTACTGCTTTTAGTGAGCTATTCTGTCAGTTTAAGGCTGTTTTACAGTCTCTGTACTCCATGATTGATTACTAAATTAGTTGATTATTTCAATAATCGATTAATCCGATTAATTTGTTCAGCCCTAGTTTAAACAGAGTGGATTTTCCTTCAGACGAGCTGAAGCAGGAGGAAAACTGCTGACTCATGACTCATCAAGCTAACTGAACACCTAGCATACCGGGTCTGAGGCGGCTTGTAGCTTTTTTTCATGGTCTAGATTGTTGTCAGATGCCTGGGATTTACGTCAAACACCAGTGAGAACCATTAAACTGTGTCTGCCATTAAAATACATTTGCGCCATGAGTGCGGCTGGATTTGAACCTGTTGGGGACCCGTAGCTTTAACCAGTTTAGTAGAACAGAGTTGGGAGTTGGTCGGCTCAGAGGCTTTTATAAAAGCAGGACGATACAAATTAAAGTTACACAAAAATAAATAAATTTTCCATCCTGCATATGGATTCAGCAACCTTAACTCTGACGCCAGAATAACCTGCTGGTATCTGTGTGTAACTGGAGCTCTGTCTGGATGCAGCTGCTCTGTGTGCTGCCACTTCCACCCCTACAGTGAGGGATGTAAATGGCAGCATTATGCTGTGGGGAGACACTAGTGATGGCTACCAGCAGCACTGATGCTTCAGCGCTGTGTGCTCTAATACTAAACCCTGTCGGTGCATGTATCGTTTCAAGAAAGTCTTGTGATCGATACAGGAGGTGTTTTAAACTCACTGACGCACTAAACTCTTTATAAGCGCATCTGCCAGAAAAAAACTGGTCTTTTGTGGTTTATCATCAGATTAATCAAGAAATTTGAAAGCAAAAGAAAGTTTTAGCCGAGTGGAACCATTTTGATCTCATTGGTTTTAATTTTCTTTTTTGCGTCTTCCTGTTCCTCTCAGTCTTCACTCAACTTATAAATAAAATATACACACACATCTATAAATCCTAGTCCACAAACATCCTTTTTCACATGTTTTCGTTTATGGATTCCATCTAAAAGTATCAAACATATTCTCAATTTGAACAAAGATATGAAATAATACATTATGGCAAACACTGGCTTAAAGGAAAAGTCGCTCATATTCAGAATTCAAACTTCTGAAAGTTCTTTAAATCTGAAATGATTCCATCCTGTTCAATAAATGATCAGTGTTTTTAATTCAGAGTAATTTCCATGTGAATGTGCTTTACTGGAGGCATCCATGTTTGTCAAAGAACACTACTGCCACCTACTGGTTAGTGACGTCACGGTGCGGTATCGGCTGTTGATCAAGTCCCAGTGCTGTATCTGGTGTTTGTCACAACGCGCTATTATCCAAGTCATCTTGAAAACATTCTTCTTCCAAATGTCGGCTACATATTACGGGTTTTTTCTCTGGCCAGAAGTTCGATGGCAAATCCTCCCTCTTCAAGTTGGCGATCCAACGACCAACCCGTCCGTGGAGGATCAGGAATCAGAAAGGTGGAATAACTCTTTTTTTCACTTTTACCCGATGTATTCCAGCATCCAGCTGCCATGCACGTGGGCATTGTCAGTTTCACTATAGCTCTGGTGAATTTCAATGGTGAAGTCCTCTGGAAATCTTCAATAATTGTTGTTGATTGCAGATGTGTCTAGTAGTTCCCATTGATTTAGCTTGGAAAGCGGGGAGAATGGCGCTAGGCTTACCGCACCGTGACGTCACTGCTGGAAGATGGCAGGAGGGAGGGGCTACTATATTTTTTTACTTATTAACGCTAAATTCATTTTCATATTTCATTTCATATTTTCCTTTAAATCATTAAATCACTGCGAACGTATTAGTTTTAGATATGATTATTCCTTTCTGAGCGGACTTTTCCTTTAAATCATTATAGGTCATGAAATCAGTGTCAGTTTGGTCTCCCTGTAGTGATTTTAAAAATCCAGCAGGTGTCAGTATTCAGTAACCGTAACTGAATAGAAATGCTTCATGTCGCCTCATGAACCCATTACTAGGAGACAGAATCTGGTTCCAGCAGGACAAGATTGTCCTTAAAAAGCTGCAGGTTCAGGAATAACAAAACACCCAAATCTTCAGCGCTTCGTCCTTTAATGTTCAAACACCAACTGTAGTTCTGGAGCGAACCGTCCTCTCTGTCTGTCACCATGAAAGAAAAAACAGTTCTACACCCCTGTGAGTCACTTATGGAGCAATAAACCGTCACATAACCTCTCTGCCTCTTCTAGGATGGATCAGTCTCTAAGGTTCGTAAAGCTGCTTTAAAAAAGTCGTCACATCTCTTTAATTTGTGATATTTTGCTGTGAAGTAACAGCTGAAGATTTCAGGATGAATTTCAGAGAATCACAAATCGTATGATAACAGAACTTTATCAAAATAACTTACTACAGTTTCTCATAATGTTGACGTTTAAAATGAAAGCAGGTTTAAATAGTTTTTTTTCTCATCATCACCAAACAAGTTGTCATGATTAATAGATTTTTTTACCCTCATATATAGAGTCCCAAAGTTAATCAGCTTCAGCTTTTCGGCTCAAATGTTCGTTCACATTTCAAGCAAGGATTCCCCGCGAAGCTTCAAGCTTCAGTTAAAAACGTCCTTCTTCAACACAGAGGAGGCACCAGAGACTCACGGTTCAACTCTTCGGGTCGTCCTCTGGTTCTTCCACTTCAGTCAGAACCTTCCTGGTTCTCCAGGATGGGATCTGGGGACAGTCCAGAGGGGATCATCAGTGTGGAGGGCTGAGTGCCCTGTTAGAGGGATGGGAGTGTTAGTTACCTGTCAGGGTGCTGCTGATGTTGGGAGGAGATGCGATGAGTACCTCGCTGCCAGACGGCATCCCAGAATCCACCGCTGCAGCCTGGGGATTTTAAAAAAACAACAAAAAGTTCATTTCTATCAGAAACTTAAAAAAAGAAAAAAAAAGAAACATTAGATAGAAATGAAATAAAGCTAAAAAGGGAATGAAGACGGGACAAGGAGGGAGGGAAGAACTAAAGGCCAGTCACACCAAATTCAATTTTGTGTCCGATCCAACGTAAAATACCATCGGATGAGGTGGTGGCGTTTAGCGCTCATTAAAAGTTAATAGGGATAATTTCCTGCAGGGGGCAGCGTAACTCCGACTGAGGTAGAGCCCAGGTCTATTTCAGTCTGACTACGCAGCAATTCAGCAGCAATTTCATGGATCTGACCGGAAGAGAGATGAGCTTACAAAGTAAAACACATCCACTTTGGAGGAAAATACAAAATAAAATCTGTTAATCTCATGGAGAAAGAGTCAGTTTGGAGTCGCACATCAAATTAATTGAATGAAACTTTAAAATAGAAAACTTTCCCCATGATAGGAGTTCAGAAAACGGATTAAGTAGTGATCCTCTTTGAGCCTCACAGAAACCAAAATAAGGAGGGCCAGTTAGTTCTACGTCAGCCTGAACACCTAAATTCAGCCAATCATATATCAACGGTCATCTGTCAATCAAATGTTTTTGGTCATAGCATCTTGATGTATGTTGCAGCTAATATACGCAACAGTTAAAACCAGAATCCTTTCCTTTCCCATTGAGTTGCGTCCCAGTGTTCACGGGGATGGACGTCTGTGTCTTCTGCAGGCGTAGAGCTAACAGAACTGGCAGCGTTGCGAGGCAAGGGCTCAAACATGTACGGCTGGAAGCCTTCTACACCAAACCAAGCTTCTGCCGCCCTGGCGTCCTCTTCCACAACATCTTCGTCCCCGCTTTCCTCCTCTAAATAAAAAATGGATGACGGAGGAGACTCATCCACGACCTCCGACACTAAACTCTCCTCCTCTTGCATGTTTCGCCTGTCCATAGCGTTCCTTGACAGCGTCGTTTCTAAGGCACCAATTTAGTGCTACTTGGTCCCAATGGAATTCCCCATCGGTCTTTGACAGTGTGCGTCACTTCCGCAAAAGCGCAATGCATTTAGGGTAGTTAGCGCCATTTCTGTGGTGAAGAGACAGCAGCAACTAACAACAGAAAACTAACAGAGAGCAGACGTGTTCTAGTTGCTTCTTTGGAAATAATGGGACACTGGTGCTGCGTCAAAGGATGCAACAGTAATTCTAAACAGAAAACAGCAGATGGGGCCTTACGGTTTTTCGTATTCCCCACTTGGAAAAAAAAATACGGACCGCAGACAGAGGACTTAACAAAGAGGCGTCGGGCTGCATGGGTCGCTGCTGTAAGAAGGAAAGACATCACGTTTCATAAAATATCTCCTCATGCTCGTGTTTGCTCTCGGCATTTTCAAAAAGGTAAGTCCTTATAAATATACACTAATAGAAATCAACACGCTGAAATGGTTTGCTTATAAAGTTGCAGGAGTTCATGTAAACCTACTGAAACATGCTGTGGAAGAGAAGCGGAAAGTGATGTTTGTTTTGTTTATTTCTTTTTTAGACCGCTAAAATTTAATAAATAATGCGTTCTCTGTATATAATCATTTACACAATCTGCAATACAATTTTTTTTTTAAATGAATAAATATATGTAAATACACTGTACATATAAAAACACTGTACATACCCACTCGTCAGCCAACTCACTGTATTTATTTATCCTGTGCAATCTACTTAAGTATATTATAACCCTTTGTTCGTCTGTAAGCTTTTCAGTTTATTTATTTACCTCTGGCCTTACTAGTCCGATGTACTTGTGCTGTTTCGGTATAGCAAATTTCCCCACTGTGGGACACATAAGGTTATCTTAATTTATTACACATCTAATCTAATGGGCTCTGTTATTAAGGTGCTTTATATAGTGTTTTGAATAGATGTGTAAAACACTCAACCTTTCATCTACTTTGCAGGTCAACCCGCATATGAGATGATGAAGACTGACCCAGACTGGGCTCCATCCCTGCATCTGGGCCACACTGACATCAAACCAACAGACACAGACCGCTCTTTAAGACATGGTTATCGGGAACAGCTGAAAAAGAATGCCCTGCAAGCAACTGAAACGGGGCTCCATCGGGCTGATGAAATCCTTGAGCAACAGGATGAAGTTACACATGAGGCGACAGAGAACCCTAACCAGCAACAGACTGACACGCAGAAGGCTGCTGAAAACGTTGGGCGGCCAAACACCAAGGATGACACAGAAGGTGGTCGGTCGTCAGGAAGGACAGACAGAATGTAACCTGTGTGTGCTCAGGTGTGCAGAGATGAACCGTCTTTTGGAAGAAAACAGAGAGCTGCGGCGTGAACTTGATGAGCTGCGGATCTCTGATTGCTTCTTTGGAGACACTAATGAAAAAGTCCAGTACTATACGGGTCTACCAAACTTGGTGACCTTAATGGCTTTGTTTCATTTTCTGCTGCCTCTCATGTCTGCTCAAAATAAAATTCTCAGTCCATTTCAAATGCTCTGTTAACCTTCATGCGTCTGAGATTGGATCTGCCCTAACAACACCTTGCTTATCTCTTCTGTGTTTCACCAAAGACAGTGTACAGAACATTCAATGAAATGCTGTCATTTTTATATGCAAATCTAAAGCGTGCAATTGTGTGGCCAGATAGAGACACCTTGCACAAAATTATGCCTCATCCGTTTGTGGAGGCCTTTGGACATAGAGTCACAGTGATTATCGACTGTTTTGAAATTTTCACAGAGAAACCAGCTAATAAATGAATGCCAGATCAAGTACTGTTTCAACTTTCTTCTTCTTTTTTTATTCTTCTTTTCACACAAATAGAATTTTGCTTTTTTTAAAGTTACTTTTGAAAAATAACAGCAAAACAAATATAAGTTTCACCATCACTTCAAATATTAACAATGTTTTCTGAAGTTGTAAAAATGTGTGTACAATAAAGAGTGGAGTTTGAAATTTGAAACAAGCGTTGTTATTATCTTTTCAATCAAGCAGAGAATTTATGAAAATGCAATACAAAATCTCAAATACATAAATAATGCAGAACAGTGCAAAGCTTCAAATGTTTTACTTTGTCTTCCTCCCTCGTATATAGCAGATTGCTCTTTAGATTAAATTAGACGATTTTCATTTTCCCTGGACTTGTTTTCACTGTGGTCTTCCGTAGAGATATGACCTAACAGGTGATATCTGTGAAGAAGACTGCAGATCCCAGTGAAAACAGGCCTGGGTAAAGTGAACAGCAAATACAGTGTGCAACTTATCAATGTGCAAAAATTCTGACAAGTTTTTCCGTTCAGTCTGATGAGCAGCACAAACTGCTCTAATAACTGCAGCGATCTGTGCAACTGCCCACAACATCTGCCTTGTCACTGTAATAATAATATATAATATCGTTCCCTAGCAGCTTTAGAAAGTTTGTCTGGGTAGGGTATCCGTTCAGTTTTCTTGTTCTTTTCCATTTAACTGATAATCCTCGCTGCTGGCTTGCAACGCTCTCCTCTTGTTTTCTACTGTTTTGTTTTTCTTCCGCTCACCACAAAAATGGCGCTAGGGGGCGTGTCAGTCACGTGGCTGACAAAGACCGATTGGGAACCTGCTAGCACTAAGATGCTAACTGGTTAGCAAGATGCTTCCTACAAACCCGCAACAACCAAACTTGCTTGCAAAAACCTTCCGTCACAACAAAATCATGCACCACTCGAGAGAATTCGGAAATGCAACGGTTGGAACAGCCGCTTCCCTACGACTTTAAGATCTCAGGGCAGAAGAGGAAAAATGGAACATCTCAAAAATTACTTTCGTATTCGTTGTGCGGTTATTCTACTTGAAGAAAACGAACGTTTTTTGTTGACACAAAGTTAAAAGTAGTGTAGCTTCATATGGCTAACTGAGCAAGCTTCAATAGGCTAACCTGTTAGCTACTGAGCACAGCTAGCCACAGCACTACCCAGCTTTCCCCCTTTTGTATCATGGTGATGTTATTATTGTTGTCTGGGAAACCAAAATGTTTGACACCATGTGGCAACGTTCAGCCAATCCTGTGGCGTAACGTCGCTGGCAGGAAGCAGGACCCGAGCAGATCTGGTAGCTACAGCGGCTCTACATACCTTCTCTGCATAAACTTCAGTTACTGACTCAGTTGTCGTGACGACGGCCTCCGAGTCTTCCAGGAGAGCTGCCACATTGAGGTGCTGGTCCTGCCCCTCCTCCTCCGTCTCCACAACCAGCTGCGGTTCTGAGGAGGCGGGGTCAGAGGAGACGGTCTGGATGATGACGCCGTCTCCGGAGCAGAGGCCGTCGGTCTGGGAGGGAGGAATACAAGCATGAAAACAGACAAACAGGAGGACAGAGAAGCGTCGGAGGGACAGGAGACTGACCGACAGACTGTGAAGGATGATGTGCTCCTGGGGGGAGGGGGAGGAGCTTGTCGTCAGGGTTACAGTGCTGTTATTGGATAAGCTGAGAGGGAGGCTCTGGTTGGACGTTGTCTGGAGGTAGTAAGTTCCTGGGGTGCCTGTGGGCTGCAGGTGGAAGGACTGGAAAACAACCAGTTCATCATTTATAAAGTAATAATCTCCAGTTAGCTGCAATGATTCAGATTTAATCTGATTACTGGATTTTAGATTAATACAGATTATAGGATATTCTATAAAACACTGAAGGTTTCTGATAGAAACGAATAAATTCACATGTGGGGTGACACAGGGTGCCATACTGGGGGCCACGCATCTTTGGTTTGTCCAATCAAGGAGCTGCAACCAGTTTTGTTTCCCAATGATAAAAATATATTTGATTCAGGAAATAATCGACACAAAAACATTAAAATGTTGATAAATGCTTAATTTATTTAAATTTTGATCATCAGAACTAATAATTATTGATAATAAAGTAACTGAAAGAGTTTAATTGTTGTTGGGAACCATAAAACATCTTTTCTTGTATTTCATTAAGTCAGAGAACTGAATCTAATACCAGTATTTCTATGTATTCTGCACTTTCTAATGATTGATAAATTCCAACAAAAAGCTGAGAAATTAATTAGAATCAATATCTTAGTTGACGGATCCTCTGGGTCAGACTCACCGGCAGGATCTCGAAGGTCTGCAGCGCTCCAGAGTTCAGAGCGATGGCGTCTCCGTCTGCAGCCGCGGCCGAGTCTGAAGCTGCTGCAAACACAGACAGAAGGTCAGAAGGCGAGGAGGGACGGCGAACGTCTCCCCACTGCTGGGTCTGTTCGACGGAAGGCGGGGCCTCACACAGGTGGGTGATCTGCAGCGGGATCTGGACTGGAATCTGCAGCGCCGCCAAGGAGCCGGGGGCGGGGCTGCAGCTGCTGCTCTCGTCCAAGCGGGCGAGTCGGATCTGGAGCGAAGAAGAGGAGGGACTTCCAGGTAGAGATGCAGCGTGTGAAGACGTCATCAGCTCCTCCAGGCCCTTCAGGAGGACTGTTAGAAACACAGCGGCATCAGCGGGGGCAGAACTGTGAGGGTAAATCTGAGGCGTTAACCATCGATCAGAACCTTCCAGGTTGGACTGATCATCTAACAGGGATCTTAAAAGAAAAGATTGACTATATATACCGTAATGACCCGAATATAAGAACACCCTGATTAATAGACCACCTCCTCTTTCCAGGACCAGTTTTTAAGAACAAAAAAAAGGACTAATAAACCAAATTTATTTCGTTTAAAGTAACATTTCATATTGAACAATTCCATCGAGATAGTCTTGCATTTAAAGATTTTTGCAATTAAACTATAAAAAGTAAAAAACAGTGATGACACTGGGTAGCACTGCTGCCTTGCAGCAAGAAGGTTCTGGGTTCAATTCCTGGCCCGGGGTCTTTCTGCATGGAGTTAGCATGTTCTCCCTGAGCATGTGTGGGTTCTCTCCGGGTACTCCGGCTTCCTAGCACTGTCCAAAAAAACATGACTGTTATGCTTCTCTAAATTCTCCTTAGGTGTGAGTGTGTGAATGATTGTTTGTCCTTTTTCTCTCTGTGTTGCCCTGCGATGGACTGGAGACCTGTCCATGGTGGACAGAGGCACCAGCACCCCTCGCCACCCCAGCAGGGATAAATATGACGGCGGATGGATGGATGGACAAATTTTACCGTATTTTTGCGACTATAAGGCTAATATAAACGTCTTTTTTTCGCCTCAAAATGTGCAGCGCACCCTATTGTGCGGTGCGCCCTATGTGTGTTGTTACTGCGGACGTTTGAGACCACCATGAGAACGTTAAAGCGGTTTACCAGCCGCCGCGGTGAACCGCGAGGAGGTGACCCGAACATAGGCTGCTGTTGAATTAAGTTTTCAGGTGGATTTTTCCACTTAAAAACATATTAAAACTACTTTATCCCACTGATCACAGCAAATATAGCAGCAAGGCAAAGAAAGGATAGTGAAGCTCCGCCCAACATGCATCAGACACACTTTTGCACCGTGCAGCCAGAGCAGCAAAGCTGCTTCAGCCGCGCGTCAGAACTAACTGGTACAATCCAAACTGCAGGCACCAGGATAATAAAAGCGAACATTTTCTGCCGGCAGATTTCTGCATTTTAAGTTAATTTATGCGTCAAAAAACTGTTTCAGAGGAGTGATCACAGCGCACTGATCATCAGCGATGTGTCTCTCTCTCTGCCAGCTCCCAGGTTTGATTAATACTTTGTAATAAATGCATGAATAAAGCACAAACACACTCAGTTTTTATTTTTAAATACGCAGTAGAGGTATTTAAACGTAGTAGAGGACATGTACCTGTATATAAAACCCGCGCCCTATAATCCGGTGCGCCTTATGTGTGTGTTAAATACAGAAATGGGACACATAACTGAGACTGCGCCTTTTAGTACGGTGCACCTTATGGTCGTGAAAATACGGTATTTAAATCTCACAACACTTTAACTAGAATAAAATCTGAACTTTGCTCACGGAACGTCTGAAAAACCCGCCTGACGCTTTTCCTCACAGACATCCTCTACCTCGCTGCCTCACTGTCACTCCCACTCTCACCCTGCAGCTCTGCTATTTATCAATAAGCTTTTCTTTCGCTGGTTGCATTTTCCTGTTTTTTTTTTTAGACTTCTGACATTGCACTCTGTAACTCCGTATTTCTTTTCTGCCTGACAGCTGTTAGATTCCTCCGCTGCATTGACCACCATTATTTTAAAATTGGCGTCATACTCCGCCTCAAATGTCTGCAAACATGTCTGAGTTTTAATCCACTGCCTTCTGCCAGCCACTCTCAATTTGTTGCATCCTCATCACCATGGACATGATTAAGGGGGGGGGGGGGGGGGGGCATGTCCCCTGCACGCTATAGTACACAGACATCTGTCGAGCACTAGGACAAAGCGAAAAACTGCAACCGAAACTGAAACCTGCTTCCCTGAGTTTAGACCATCCAGAAACTCCTGATTGGCCCACCATCTTTTCTTGTGTGATCGGCTGTCGCCGCTGTCACTCCTGAGAAGCTAACTTTACAAACATCTGATGCGCCACTGAATCTGGTCTGTGATTGGACGGTCGAACACCAGTTAAATAAAAAAATACTTCCGTCCGCCCTGCTGCTGGAATCAAAATTTCATCCATGCTTGTCATTTCTTCTCTGCTGTGATAGAAAGATAATCCCAGCCACAGTGAGGTCTCTGCCTTTACAAAAAAAGACTGGCGCCCTCTGCTGTTTGGTTCGTGAAGCGACCCCAGATGACTGACAGCCTGTATAACTGGTTAGACCGCACGTTTACACATCGATTTCAATTAAAAAAAACTTATATTCATGTCAATATGGTATATGTATATATATATATATATATCTATATATATATATATATATATATATATATCTATATATATATATAGATATATATATATATATATGTTTATTTATATGGCAGTTATTCCAGCCAGGACAAAGATGTCGGTTCCGCTCGATGTTTAAAAGCCCAAATCAAAGCCACGGTGACAGGATGTCTGCTTACTGCTAAAGGGGATGTCTTTGTGGTTGGCGACTTGTCTTTTGATGCTCCACCACTTGGACCGCAGCCACTGAGGCGACCGCACGCTGCTCCACCCCCACGCCAGATCCTCCCATTTGATGTCGTTCTCGTCCTCCGCCTTCACCATGGAGATCCTGCAGAAATCAGCGGTTATTTTTACTCATCTGACGGTTAAAATCGCTCACCGTCTGCTGATGAATTCATCTCCAACCTGCGTAGGAGGTTCAGGTCGTCCTCCTTCGTCCACTCCGCCCCCCCGCTGTGCTTCCAGTTCAGGTAGTTCAGCCACTTCGATCGGCACTGCTTCTCTGACCGCGTGCGAACTCGATCTGCGACCGTGGCCCAGGAGACGCCGGCCGTCACCGCCGACCCCGGCGACACGCCCGCCATCTCGTAGACGACTTCGGCGAGGCGCCGCTCCTCCTCCTCGCTCCATTTACCCGTGTTGCACGTGTCCTTCATCAGACGGCAGCGGTCTTTGACGGAGGAGGCGCTGCGCCCCAGGGCGGCTCCGATGGTCGCCCAGTCGTTCCCGTGTTTTTCCCTCAACCTGAAAACAAACGGTTAAACCTGAGAAAGTTCCTCAGGCGCTTCGATTCGCCCCGGACCGACTTTCACTCACGCTTTCAGCTTCTCGATCTCCTCTGCGGTGTACCTTAAGAAGGGAGGGAAAGGACCAGTTAGCACTGGGACTCCTGAACTGGTAAAAGTCATATGGAAAGCCATTTGGTTCAATTATACATGACTTCTAACACGTAGACAACACGCCAACGACACGTATTTTGTGCGTTGTTTGCGCATTGCTAACGTGTTGTCTTCGCCATGTAGTTAACATGGTAAGAAAGCGTCGACTACATGTCAACATGCATTGGTTACGCGTCAACTAAGCGTTGAATTCATGTGAATATGAGCCGTTCAGCCACTTGTCCAATCTGAGCTGAGTAGCTAATGGGAAATAATAGATATTAGCGACATCTACAGTTAGGGCTGGCTTCTTCAGGTGTTTTTCGGCAAATTTAACTCTGGCCAGTCTATTTTTGGAATTGATGAATGGTTTGCATCTACATGTGAACCCTTTGTATTTACTTTCATGGAGTCTTCTCTTTACTGCTGACTTAGAGACAGATACACCTACTTCCCTGAGAGTGTTCTGGACATCAGTTGATGTTGTGAACGGGTTCTTCTTCACCAAAAAAAGTCAAAAAGGCCCAGGCCTTTTTGAGTTCCCAAGCTCACCAGTGAATTCCTTTTTTCTCAGAATGAACCCGACTGTTGATTTTTCTACTCCAAGCATGTCATTTTTTGTCAGCCTCAGGATGTTCTGCTTCACCTCAATAGGGGGTTTTCAGGTGACGTCACGCTCTCGTGACTACTCAGCGCGTCCGCCATATTGGGTGGCAGCCTTAGGCAGTATTGACAGTGAAAAATGGTGAAATCGTGTGTAATTGTTGGTTGCACGGGCGGTGGAGGTGGAGATCAACGCTCTTTCTATCGCATACCAGCCGTAATCGTGAATCAATGTGAAAAAACAAAACAGCTATCTGAACAACGCCGTCACCTATGGCTGACACGGATATCCAGGTCCGATTTGGACGGTGTGAAGCTGGAATAAGCCAGAGTCTGCAGTGCTCACTTTGTCACAGGTAATTAACTGTGTTAATTTGATTAATTTCACCTTAACTTGATTTCAACCAGCGGGAAAAGGCTCAAATGTGAGAAACCCGGAGGGTTTAGGGAGGTTTGGCAGTTAACGTTACTAACCAAACCTTTGAAACACATAGCAGCTGGTTAAAAGTACATCACATGCCTGAGTGGTTGTTAGCACTAACGGTTAGCACTGTTTGCTGGCTTTATGAGCTGCAGCTCCTGAACCCATCCATTCGTAAACTTCACATGATACTCCAAGGACTTGTAGCTTTGGAACTGTTCGCGCACCGCCGGCCGTTAGCCACCTAGCATAGCGAGCCCTGCGTGGGATTCTTTACATTTTTACCATCTTATTAAAACTCACCCGTCCACGTATGATGGCGATTTCCTTCATGTACATCACTTCGACATCTCGTACCCAATCCAGATGTGAACTGGTTGTGAGCCTCTAGACCCTTGTACGCTCTCATTTCCTCCAGAGTGTGCAGAGGGTTTTCACTGAACACCGGGTAATGAACTATGTTGCCGTGCTCTACATTTGGCCAATCATCTGGATTAGGGCTAAACAAGGCACCGTGGAGGGCATAGGGGTCCATATGGTCGATCACGGAACATTTCCTCAGATATGTTCCATGATCTGGTGGCTCTAGCGTGCTGGCGTACTTATCCATTCGCGACATGATATATATGATATACGATAATATGCCACCCAAGATGGCGGACCGGAAGCTGGCCAGTGACGTCACTGAAAACTCCCTATTGAGAGTTCCTTTGACCGCATGTTGTCTGGTCACAGCAACAGCTTCCAAATGCAAAACCACACACCTGGAATCCACCCCAGACCTTTTAACTACTTAATTGATTACAGCTAACGAGGGAGACGCCTTCTGAGTTAATTGCAGCCCTTAGAGTCCATTGTCCAATTACCGTATTTTCACGACCATAAGGCGCACCGGACTAAAAGGCGCAGTCTCAGTTATGTGTGCCATTTCTGTATTTAACACACACATAAGGCGCACCGGATTATAGGGCGCGTTTTTTATATAAAGGTACATGTCCTCTCAGGTGGATTTTCCCACTTAAAAACATATTAAAACTACTTTATTCCCACTGATCACAGCAAATAAAGCTGCAAGGTGTATTTATTACAAAGTATTATTCAAACCTGGGAACCGGCCGTGAGAGACACATTGCTGATGACACAGGGCTGTGATTACTCCTCTGATACAGTTTATTGACGCATAAATTAACTTAAAACATAGGCAGGGTAATAATCTGGATGAACTGACTGCAATGATTAAATTTTCAGGTGGACTTTCTCACTTAAAAAGATTTAGATTATTTAGATGAAAAAATCCGGTCCTCTGGGCCCGGATGCGCCGCGGCCCAGAGGCTGCTGTTGAATTAAGTTTCCAGGTAGAAAAATAGAGCGGGAGCAAAACTGAGTATGATTGTGCTTTATTCAAGTATTTATTACAAAGTATTAATCAAACCCCTCAAAGTCCTCATCCTCTGTTTCTGAATTAAACAGCTGCGCTAAATCCGACATGCCAGTTTCCCCTTCTTCTTTGCTGTCAGAGTCACTTTCCGTGCCGGGCGGCTCCTTGGAAATGATGCCGGCTTTTGCGAAAGCTCGAACAACAGTCCCAGCAGAAACGTTAGTCCAAGCATCTACAATCCATCCGCAAACGGTGGCGTAACTTGCCCGGCGCTGCCTTCCACTTTTAGTGAAACTGTGCTCTCCGTCTGTCATCCATCGCTCCCACGCCGCTCGCAGCCTTACTTTGAACGGCCGCTTCACACCGATGTCGAGCGGTTGAAGTTCCTTTGTCAGACCTCCCGGAATAACAGCGAGCACAGCGTTCATTTCTTTGACCTTTTTTTTCACATCGGCTGTGAGATGGGCACGCATGGAGTCCCAAATTAACAGAGATGGTGATGCGTGGAAAAAACCACCTGGTCTCCTTACATTCACCTCCCTCAGCCAAGCTTTCATCATCTCCTCGTCCATCCAGCCTTTTTCATTCGCCTTAATAACAACTCCAGCTGGAGTTGAAATGCTGGCCCCACTCGTTCTTTGCTCCACGATCCACCGCTCGAGTCTTTCCTCCAACTCGGGCCACCTCGCCTAATGTCCGCGGAAACTCAGCTGCGTCTTCTTCACCAGTCGGAGTTCGTTTTCCAGCTTCCTCCACTTGCGAACCATCGATTCATTTATATTGAATTCTCTCGCAGCTGCTCGATTTCCATGTTCCTCTGCGTAGCTGATAGCCTTCAGTTTAAACTGGGCTTCATAGGCGTGTCTCTTTGCCATTTCCAGGGTTGTTAAGACAACAATGTTCTACATAAAGCACATACCTGTTCTTTTATACACAAGCCACGCCCACACTTCCCCCTTTAAGGTTCTCACATACTCATGGTGGTCTCAACAACGTCCGCAGATAGGGCGCACCGCACCATAGGGCGCACCCCACATTTTGAGGAAAAAAAAAAGACGTTTAGGTGCGCCTTATAGTCGTGAAAATACGGTACTTTTGGTCCCTTGAAAAAGAAGAGGCTATGCATTACAGAGCTATGATTCCTAAACCCTTTCTCCGATTTGGATGTGGAAACTCTCATATTGCAGCTGGGTGTGTGCACTTTCAGCCCATATTATATATATATAATTGTATTTCTGAACGTTTTTGTAAACAGCTAAAATAACAAAACTTGTATCACTGACCAAATATTTCTGGCCCTAACTCTATAATACTATTCTGACTAGGAACATTTTATTGTGCCTAGGTAGAATGCTTTAGTGCTATCTATAATAGAAATGTGACTAGTCAGCCTGCCTATTTTATGATAAACGGAGCCTCATTATTCTTTTGAAAGTATCTAAAACTGCGTTTTAGATTTCAGAATTATTAATTTAGGGAATTAATTTTGATGTGAAGAAGTGGATATATCTGTAATGTTATATTCATTTTTGATATCTGAAAATTTCATGATGACTGGTAGTAATTCTATTACTGAGATCTGACATTAGAATTCATCCTCGTCAGAATTCATAAGAAACGTGACTTAAGAATTCTGAAATTTTCTTTTTGACTAAGAAGAAATGCATTTGTACGGAGCCCCTAAACTTTTGCGAGATCCCGCAATACTTTGTTCGAGATCTCGCAAAACGTTTTGCCATGGCAGCTAACCAGAAGTAAAACAGACACACAACAGTGGAGGTGCTATGGGAGGATAATACGCTCATGCGTCAGCTACAACCATGGAGGATGATTTGGAGAGGTTCTTAATTTCTAGAGCAGTCCCAAAACACGACATTACATAAATGAAGAGAGACAAGGTCAGTATGAAATCCTACGGAGCGAGATCCTTAAAAACTTTTGCGAGATCTTGCAAAAAATAAAACTTTTCCGAGATCTCGCAAAACTGTTGCAGGATCTCGCAAAAGTCTATTTTTTCCCTCTATGTCCCTTTAGGGGCTCCGTACATTTGAGACATCTGGATTACATGTTAAGTCAAGCTAATAAATGTCAAAACGACCTGCCATACTCTACTACTCAGCAGCCAATGGGAAATAGGAGACAAGCACCAAATTAGACCAGTGGCCGAATGGCTCATATTCACATGAAATCAACGCGTATTTGATGCGAAGTCGACGCGTTCTTAACGCTTTAACTTGATAGGCGAAGACGACACGTTAGCAACACCCAAAATACGTGTCATTGACGTGTTGTCTACGTGTTAGAAATGATGAGTAATTGAACCAAATGGCATTCCATAAAGTCGTTCTGATCTCGGACTCACTTGCCGACGTGGTTTCTGTCGTCATACATCCGTAAAACTCTCCTGTAGACGGCGAAGAGCGGCCGGTTCAGGCCCAGCGCCACAGAGCGGTAGAAATCTTTCCTCTCCTCTTTAGACATCTCAAAAATGATCTCGGCTGGATCCTGGATGCCGCGGCGCTGATGAAGACGACAGAGATGATGGTCACACGTTTAAAAAGGCAGGTGCGGCGTGGTAAGGGCGAGCGACGTACCTTCATGTATTGGTCGATGTTGTCGATCAGGATGTTTATCTCCTCCTTGGACCACATTCCCTGCTTCCACCTGTGACCTGAAGATAGAGCATCGCATTAAACAGATGAAAACATTTTAAGTTAAATCCATCTTTTAGTCGCTGCTTCAAACATAAAAAGAAATAGCTTCATTTGGAATCAGTTCAGTGCAGCAGAGACCCATTTCTTTTCAGTTCAAATTAAAAATGATTCATTAATTCCAAACTAAAAATGGAAAAAACAAAACATCCTAACTAAAACAATCTTGTCCATCCAAGCTTGATGAGTTAAAATGTCTTATGTGCATGTACCCTTAATTTGAGCAGGTAAATAAGATGATCTGCTAATGGAATGAGTATTTAACTCAGATAAATGCACTTAAAATAAGACAAGAACAACCTTTACTTTAAATGGAAATTGTTTAGTTCCATTGGTAAAGTATCTCACTCAACTCCTCAATTTAAGAAAAAAAGTCTTTAGATCTTTTATTTTTGTTTGCGATCTGAGAGATGATTAGGAAACTAAAATAGGCTCTATTTTTTTACTTTCACATATTTCTAGCATGAAGTTTTTTTCTAATTTAAGAAATAATCTAGAACTAAGTTTCATAAACCAGTAATTTTTTATTATAATAAGAACATATCCCACCCAATCAGAAGCTGCTGTGATACCAAACCATGCATATTGCTTTAGGATAATAGACTATATTAATTAGGCTACGTATGCTTCCATTAAAAAGAAAACATTCCCTTCTTTTTTTACAACTAGACTACTGTTTATAGCTCATCTAGATCTATGTTCAAGCTCATTTGAGTCAACCCAGACCTCATCCAAAACACTTTGAATATCCTGAGCTATTTTCTGCATTTGTGCTGCTATAGGCTTAGACTGCTGGAGGACATAGGGACCCCTTTTTCATAATTCTGCTTCATTCTATCTCTATTCTCCCACTCTGCAGAATCTGTTAGTTCAATCTCTAACGTTCTGCTCTCTCTGCTTTTTCTCATAGTAGCTTCATCTGGTCTGTTCCTGTTTGGCTGTGACTCCATCCTGGAGAGAAATATCAGCTGTGCTGCTGCCATCAACACCTTTGTTTCTAGATGTTGGAGCTTGGCCTGTTTTCCAGTGTAGTCCTGTTTCTCTGACTGTGACTAACTGGATGTGCTCTCTCCATCCTCCGACATGGGAGCTGGCTCGGAGCTCGTCTGCCTGGCTGTGTGTTTCCTGGACGGGGCCGCCTGTGGAGCTGGTTGACAGTTGCCTTTTGCATCTATGCTTCTTTTTCTATGTCTGCTTCTGTCTCCTTGAACCCCAGTGGGTCTCAGCAGATGGCCGCTCACACTGAGCCTGGTTCTGCTGGAGGTTTCTTCCTGTTCAAAGGGAGTTTTTCCTCTCCACTGTCGCTACAAGCATGCTTAGTGTGAGGGATTGCTGAAGAGTCAATGAGTCGATGCAATCAGCTGGTTTTCCTTAGATAGAAAACTTTCAATCAATCTGACTGGATGATCTGGTGAACTGGAAAGTGACCTGAGATGACATGATGTGAATTGGAGCTATAGAAATAAACTGAATAGAGTCTAATGGGCGCTGCTGTTCGGACCTTTGTTAGCCAGCGTGTCCTTGTCTTCCTTGGTGGTGAACCAGGCCTGACTGACCGGGGACACCTCCGCTTTCTGCTCTCTATCTTCATGCAGTATCTACACGAAGAAACACAGAAAATAGATTCAAGTTAAGCTTCTGTTCAATTCCAGCGAAAAAAATTTGAAATCTGTAGTATTTTTTTCTTAAAAGAAGTGCATTTTTTTATTGAATTGAGGAGGTAAGTGAGACACTTTTCCAATGGAAACAGATGATTTACATTTAAAATAAGAAAAAAAAACATTGCATTGTCTTATTTCAAGTGTATATTATCTAATTATCTTATTTTAAGAGTAAAAATCATAATTCCATGGGCAAATCATCTTATTTACCTGCTCAAATTAAGGCTAAATACACTTAATTTAAGAGTTATTTACTTATTTCTAGATTTTCCAGTGCAGTCACTAACTTCCTGATGAATTCTGTAAATGTATTAATTATTGTCTTCACTGTTTTTTATAGGGATGCACGATATTGGGATTTTGGCCGATATCCGATATGCCGATATTTTAAAACTCATGTAGCCGATAACCGATATCGATACCGATGTTAAAGCTGGACAAAAATAAGTAGTCATTGAAAATAGCAGTTTTGTTATCCATTTCTGACACTTTGAAAAATAATATACTCAAATATATTTTCATATGCTGATATCAAATAGATTTTTAAAAACGCGGCATCGATCTATTTTACTTTCAAAATCTCGTGAAATTTCATCGTTCTGTTACAAACTCTCGTGATATTTTGCAAATTCTTGTGAGATTTTGTTAGTAAAATAGATCGATACCGCGTCAATATATCAACATATAAAAATATGGCAACATTTGGTGAATTTTCGGCGGATTTCGTAGCATAACGATGACATATAGCAATATTTCATTAGTAAAAGAGATTGATATGGTGTTTTTAAATGGCAATATATCAGCATATGAAGATATTGGGATATTTTAATGGATCAATATTTTTTCCCTCGTCTTTAGAAGTTTTTAAGTCTGTAAAAAAGACGTTTTTGAGGAAGAAGTAGTAGTATTTTTTTTTTTTTAGACTTTAGAAACTCAGAAGCTGATCAAATATCGGGTTAAATATCGGTGGGGTGGCCGATGTCCGATATTCAGTTTTAAGGCCGATACCGATAGGGGGCCGATTATATCGTGCATCCCTAGTTTTTTATACCCTGAATGCAGCATATCTACCACATCTACCTCGATCTCGGTGACCCCTTCCTCGGGGAGGTCGCCCTCTGCCGTGGCCGTCATCGTCACCTCGAAGCTGTCGTCGCTTTCAGACACTAACAGAGAAAAAAAAAAAAAAAGGCTTTTTAAAAACGTTTGCATCAGGTTGAAAATCGTAAGATGATGATGTTGATGCTTAAAAAAACTTTATGTTTAGAATTAAAATCCTGAATTGTTCCTGTAAAGAAGCACCAACATTTAAAAAAAACAAACGTCTCACTGGTGACGACGGAGAACTGCGGCATCTCCAGGCTGTCTTCAGAAGACACTCGCATCTTCTTGTTCAGAGGCTCCGACTCAGCGTCTGCAAACAAAAAGATCCAGTTTTATTTAAATCAGGCTTCAGTTCTCTGCATCTTCTTCTTATGTTCACTAGAATCAGAGCTTCCTCTGCAGCCGTACAGGAAGAATCTCTAAACTCATCAGAGTGCAGGAACAGATTGACTTCAACTCTTCTTTCTGCTTTTATCACATTTCTGCTTCTCTGAGCTTCATAAAAAAAAAAAAAAAAAAAAGCTCTGGACTTTTACAGCAGAGCTAATAATTCAGAAAATATTGCCTCTAAGGGTTAAAATCTGTTCTGCTTTCATGAAACAGTTCAGCCTCGAACCAACAGACTAAACAGAAATCATTCCTGTTTAATAGAGCACAGTCACATTTTCATATTTTTAACTTAATCGCCACCGACATGGATACCTGGCCTCGATTCCTGCTGGCTAATTATTTGCTTTTCTTTTGTTTGTAAATAAAAACCTTTTTTGTAAATTCACTATAACAACAGTGCATGTGCAGAGAAGATAAATAAGGAAGGTTCAGCTTGTACGCTCCTTCCAGCAGAGGTGTGAAAACAATGAAGAAACCTTGATGGTTCAGCGTGAAGAAACAGAAATAAAATATTAGATATCAAGAGGTAAAGGACTGGAACGGCGCCAGATGTTCATTGTAGAGGAGATGGAGCTGCCGAGGCGTTAAGATCTGAGCTAGAAAAGGAGCATCTGAACACAATTAGAACGTATAAAACCTTAATTTATCAGGGTTAAATGGTCTTAAATCCTTTTTCTATGGGCATACTGTGACCACGCCCCTTTAAATCCCATTTCCCTAAAAGTTTGGAGGTAATAATGAGCAGTGCTGTCAACTCCTCAGCAAAAAAAGTCGCTATTGGCTGTCCCAAAAGGCACTGGATGATGTCATCGCCTAATTTGCACGCCTCATGTCATCCAGCTGCAGGAGATTCTGCATACCTACAATTCTTTTTTTTATTTCTTTAGCTGTCGGTCAAAGCAGCGCAGAGAGATGGGATAGCGGGGGGGAGAAATGTTGAGATTTAAAGAGTTTTAAAGAGACTTTTTAACAAAAAACAGTTAAAAAAAATACATATAATCCATTTAGTTCCACACTCTATAGAAATGCAGGGTTTATACAGAAATGAGTAACTCCAATTTAATGCTTTTTAATACCATCAACAAGAACCCATGACTCTCACACATATATCTATATAGATATATATATAGACGAATATATAGCAGGCAAAACTTTTTTCAAATGCCATGATAATAACATTAAATTAATTGTAATATCAATTAAGGCCTCAATTTAAAAAAACGAATCATTTAATGACTTTTAATGATTTTTAATGACCAGCGGAAACCTTGAAACTGGTGACATAAATGCAACATTAGTTGTTTGCATCTAGCAAAAAAATCAAATAAAAAATACATGAAGAAGAGGAAGAACGTGGCATCAGTGCAAAGACACACAGAGACTGGAGGAGCAGAAGGGGAGAGAATGAGAACACGCTGTTATTTTAAATGAGTCAGTTAAAAATTATTTTCATGATTCTATTTTGCAATCTAGGGCAGGATTAGCAGCAGGTTTGCACATTTCGTTTGTAATCTGGAATCTGGATTCGGAGTTGAAATGTGCAGACAGTGGGGGGGGGGGGGGGGGGGGGGGGGTGGCTGTTCTATGTCGTCAAAGTCTCCATTTACACAGAAATAAGCCTCTAGATTATGCACTAACCGCTTTTTTGAAATAAAGGCGCTGGGAGGGAGTCTGAAAAGGCGCGACAAAAGCGCGACGTTTGCTGATGGGATTCTCTACTGAGTTTAAATCTTATATTTTGTTTCGGGAACAATTTTGGTATTGAAAGGATGTTAATTATTGTGTTTTTTATGTTTATGTTTAAAGGTTTTTCACCTACTAATACTGCTGCTACTATTGTTGATTGAACTTTGAAATAAAAGAGAAAAATTGAAAGAATGAACTTTGGTGTTCTGAGTGAAATCCTGTGAAATCTCTGGAAGCAAGCTGCCCTTTCAAGTGGGGGAAACCTGCAGTTTAAATACCAAACCAAAAAGTGTGAACCACTTGACATACAGTGAACACGAAAACACGCTCACTGCTGAGTACAGCAAAGGCTCCGTGATGCTGTGGGCCTGTCATTTTATTAGAATGTTGTTTCCATCAAGCTCAGTTAAGTGATATTTCAAAAAGGTTGATATGATACGAATCAAGTTATTAAACCAAACCAGGTGTTTAAAAAGTAGACATTTTAAACTCACCGACATTTCAATATTTATAAATATGTTAGATTCCTTTAACTAAATTACAGCAAAACTAAAACATACAGGAATGTTTTTCACTACTTTTCTTTAATAACCCTGTTTTTCTTAATTTTATCACTTTAATTGCTATTAAAGTCAATCTTAAAGCTAATTTGGTAAAAGGAAATATGATGGCCTGTAAATATCAACACATGTAGGGAGAATTATTATACCAGCAATAAACAACATGTTAAATATTTGTGTGGCTTTCCTGATTGAAATCAAAGTTATAAGATCACGTTATTCTTTATTGTTGCAGATTAGTGAGTAGATGACAGAGCGTGGTGCCATTTATGGAGTCATTTCATTTAAAACATGGTTAAGAAGACACTTCAGTTCTCACTTTGCTTTCCAGACGTGAATCCATCAGAAAACCTTGGAAAATCAGAGAAGAATCTAACTTTTCCTCTTTACAAAGATGTTCATGAGATCCATTTATTTTTATGTTAAAATCTTACTGGAGAACTGAGTCCTTTTGTCTGATTGAACCAAAGATTCTTATTTCTGAAGGTTTTGTATAGTTTTTCCACTGAATTAATATCACTTTGGACCTTTCTGCAGCTCACAATTAGAGGTTTTACAGCTTTCGATAAAATCTGAATTTATCTGAAGGCGTTTTACAAATCTCAGCACAGTCTGTGGGGCGTGATTTAAAATAAAAACCCATCAAAGATAGGTTTAAAATCTATCAAAACCAGTCATTACTGGGTTTTATTATTCACCAAGGCCTCAGCTGTTTCTGTTGACCCACCGTTTGAAGGACAGTGTAGGATGATGCTCCCATCACTGTCCTGAGTTAACGTGACGGGCTTCACGCTTTCTAAAGCTGCCGGTTCTTCTTCTGCTGCCGAGCTCATCCTGCACCTGCAGAACACACAAAAACACACCAACCTAACAGCTGCTCCACTGACACACAGCCTGCATGTTACCCCGCCAGAATCTAGAAAAATCTGGTTCATAATATAAGAGCAAAGAAAATAATAAATCTATAAAGAAAAAAATGACAGAAATGACCTTTACAGAAATATTTACAAGTTCATATCTGCTGAATTTACAATGATGTAAGTCTATAAGACAAATATCTATTAGGAGCTTTTAAACAATAACTTCTAATATTATCCTTACTTTAGAATTGCATTTCCTATGGACACCACTTATGCTTAACCTTAAATAAACAATAAACAATTCATTGTGCATTTCTTAATACAATATTAAACAACTTTTTATCATCTATTGGCCCAGAATAAGAAAGTTAAATGATTTATTCAAATTATTTGATGTTGCATATTTTATATGTTCTTTGGACTAATAACAATATGTGTATTTGAATCATCTTGTTCAGATTAGTCACTTTTTTTTTTGTTTTTTCCAAGTTAGGATTGTCAAAACTGTAATTTTTCTTTATAAATTTGTATATGAACCAAATTTCCAGATGTAAATGAAAACAGAATATTTTATATCAGGAAAAAAAAAGAAAAAAAGCTGTAATCAGTGATAAATTCACAGAAGCTTTTGGCTTTCACTGCGCGCTGTCGCCCTCTATCGGTTTTATGTTGACATTACGTAAACATGCATTTGTTTGGAAATTGTGTTGATATAAATTGGATTGACCAATTAAAATTACTACACAAAATGCATGCCGAATCGTAAATCTGACTACCAAAAGGATATTTAATAAAAAACTAAACTGTATTATAGTAACTTTTTTCCTAAATATTGAGAGAATTAATAAAAGTAGTTGTTTTTTTGGTAGAGTTTGGAAAGCGGCCCCAAGATATGAAGAAACACATTTACGCACACAACAGAGTACACTCGTGTTTTATGATATTAATCAGCAGAAACGATATTGATTAAAACCATTTTTAAAAAAGCATAAAAAAAACAATTAAAATAGTGTAAACAGCAGCTCTGAATCGAAGCTAACAGATAGCACCGAGCTAAATGAAAGACGACATAAAAATCTGCGGCGCCATGTTTGTCGAAAGGCTCTAGCTTGTGCTCCCTGTGTGGTTTTAGCTCCATTTGAGACTTCTGGGAGTTTATTATGCTGTGTTTTAGCTCCCGGGCATGCCGTGGCCTCTGGCCACCGAAGAGAAAGTGAATTTTACTTTTGATTTGACTACTTACTTCCTGTTTTTGGTCCGGGACTTTCGAGGTACCAGGATGAAGGTAAAGTGCCAGGATGAAGGAGCGCCTTACGGAGGCCCAGAGGGTTGCCAGGTCTGATCCTTATGCCCAAACCGGAACTGGTAGATTTTTGGTTCTTTCTTTATACTTACTGATCAGTTAATAGTTTAAAACTTCACAGCGACAGTTTGACAACTTTTAGTCAAATATATAAAACAGAAAAAATAAAAAAAGTAATAAAAACTTTGATGGTGACAGTCTTTTTGATAAAACACGACCTTAGCCTACAAGTTTATTCGTTTATTTTATATTTATTGGGATATAATGTTACATATCTACAGTGTCCATTTATAAATTATAAACACCTTTGTGAATTTCGGGACATTTCAGCTACTTTCCTGGATTTTTGCTTTACATTCTGCTGCCTTTCTTTTCTTTTTATTTCAATGTTTTCAAAAATAATTTGACTCAGTTGACACTAACATTTATATTATGTTATTTTTTAAAACATTCTATTACACCCTTTTCAGTATCTGTACATAATATTAATACATGGTCAGCGCTTAAAACCTTGTTTACAGAATCTTAAAATAAAGCTTTTCAAGATTCCGAGGCGAACGAGAAGCAAACCTGGCAACCAACGTGTACGTAACAAATGGCAACTTGTATAGTTAAATTTAATAAAAGCTTTAATGCTTCTTTATATTTACATTTTCTCCTCTTTGTTGAATAATTCGGAATATTTGTCCGTGAATTATGCCCATCCCTAAGGAGATGGGTTAAATGCAGAGCAGTGATGGTTAATGAGGCATTTTGAAGCCAAACTGTATTGATTTTGTCTCGCAGAATACTGACACCTGCTGGACATTTAAAGACACTACATGCAGTTTATTTGACAGACTAAACTGAATTGGTTTGATGACCAAGTACAATGATATAATTTATTAATTTTATATTGTATTATTTCTTATATATGTGTAAATTGAAAATATCTTTGATAATTTTAGATGCAGCCAATAAATAATTTTAACAACGTTAAAATTATTTCACAACGTGAAAATTTAGGGGAAATTGTGAATGAGGAATGCTTGTGGACTAGGATTTTAAATCATATTTTTAAAACAATAAGTAGAGTAAAAACAGTAAATACACTAAGAGTCAATACGAAATTAACTTTAATTCAGATAAGTTGAGTAATAACTGAGAGGAAAATGATGACACGATAAAATGGTGGGAACAAAAGAATTAGTTCCGGGAATTGGAAAGAAATAAGATAAATCATACACGTTAGATATTAATATCGTACAGTTACATTTAGACAGTTATCCATATATGCAAATTTATACAGATGCATCAAAAATAACAAGGAAAATAGGAATAGCTTTTTTAACACCAGAATTCAATATAAAAATAATTGAAAACAGTCGTTTGTTCAGATTCTAGCTCTGCATTATTAAGTTTAAAATATAATCAGTCAGATAGTAGGATGGACATTCTTTTAGAAATATTTCATATCTTATTCAGAATAATAAATATGGGTTTGATAGTTGTATTTGTGTGAGTTTTACCACATATTGGAGTAGAAGATAACCTGAGGGCAGATAAAATGGCAAATAGGGCAATTTAAAATTAGGTTTATGGTTAAAACGAGTAAATCGCAGGGAAAGAGTTTTATTAAAGAAAAAAATTATGGAAAAAATAGAAAAAAATCTGAAAGATGGTTTTATAAAATTCAGAAGATGGTAGGAACAAGAAGAAATGGAAGACAAAATAGAAAGGAGGAGAGAAAGATAACGAGGTTAAGATTTGGTCAAACAGGACTTAATTAAACACTTTTCAAAATTAAAAAACAAACTACTGGAAAATGTGATTACTGTGGAAAATATGAAACAACAGAACATTTTATACTGGAATGTCATAAACATGGAAGCCAGAGAAGATTTATGAGGAGAGAGTTTGACTGAATTAAGGAAAAGATTAATTTAGTAGATAGTAAACATACAAACAATTATTCGATTTTTAAAGAAAACTAAATTATTTCATAGAATTTGATTATAGAGAGGGTGAATGTGTTTGCAGAAAACAAAGATATGTATAAGTATGTAGTTTATATATATGTTTATTAGTAGATAGTCCATCACGAGCCCCACTCCATACCAGTAAGTGGCGCTAATGCTACTAAATATTTGTTGCCAACCGCCAATAAATCCAAGAAGAAGAATAAGAATTAGTTCCGGGCTTGTTTCACTCGGACTTTTTTGGGGGACGGACGATGTGTTGAAAAAGGCATCTGGAGCCAGTTTGAAGCAGGAAAATGGGAGAACAACCTGTGAGAGTGTGAGTTTTTTTATAAAAATGTAGAGTGTTTTCCTCTTTGATGTGTAAATAAATCCTTCCGGACTGGTGTTGTGTCCAGCTTGGTGTGCGGGGATGTTGAAGGCAGACTCGGCTCTCTGTTCAGCAGAGTTCAGGCC